CGTGTGAAACATCCCTTCTTACCAAGGATTACTGCCAGTTATAAATGAGTTGAAGGAGTGCATTGACCGTGGATGGAACCCCAGACTACCTGCGTAGTTAATGTTGTTATTCTACCACTGAACCGCCATTGCTATTCTCACACATACTTAAAACTGAATTAAATTCAACTGATTTGACTTCACCCACCCACCCCCACCCTCTCTGTCTCGCTCACTTGTGATCTAATTCCGAATTAATCTCACATAGGTGAAACCAAAACAGGATCACATTGCGTAATATACATGCAAGCCTACGTTTGACACACGCCCACACACACACACACTCAAGCATATCACGAGCACCTGATCAGCTGATACACATGCATAATTACTAACTATTTTTTTCTATTTTTGTTACTTTGTTGTTGGTGACATTGTTTTGTTTTTTTGTTTGATTCTACATCCCCTTTTTTTATGATTACACATTATCATCATTATGTAACCTGTCAAAGATTAGAATTATTATTCAGTTCACACACCCTTTTTCGCACACACACACACACGCACGCAAGTACACGTGTGCTTGTGTGTGTGTGTGTGTGCGTGTTAGCACAGAAAACATGAACACAGTAGCAAATATAACCACCCCACCACCACCACCACCACCACCATCTTTCAATCAGAAATAGCTTAATAGAAACAACAAAAATTTTAAAAAATGTCAGATGTATTTAACTTTATCTTCGTTTTTATTTTTTATTTGTGTGATTATGAAGGTGACAAATGTAGAAACTTTTAAAAGTCACTTGATTTCACGCGCTCTCTCTCACACACTTTCTCACCCGGTAGTTGATTTGTTTTCTAGCAAAACATACTACTTGAGAAGTCTTAATGTAGGACAAAAACGATATTGTTGTAAACAAGAAGATTCTATTTTACTTTTTTTCGTTGTTGTTGATGTGATGTATGTAGTGAACAGTGACGGCAAGGCTGATGAGATGACACGAGGTGATCTGTGAACCATGTCATGGATCTCTCCGATGAAACCAAGTGTCTCATGTCAATCACACACACATACCTTCATATGACCTTCATATTAGATAAGTATATTTTAATGTAACACACAAATACACAGCAGAACAGTATTAATAACTCGATGACAAGGTTTCGAGCACAATTCATTGCTGCTCATAATCTTATCAATGTATTATTCACACAGCTTCATAATTTCCTTTATACATATCTCATATATATCTCTCCCTCTTCCCTTAGTTGTTTGTTGCCACTTTCCATATCTCCGCTATAAGCATTGCGTCATTTCGATAAACAAAGATTCAATGATGGTTAACCTCTCTCTCTGTCTCCATCTATCCATATTACTTCTTAGTACTTTAACCCTATTCCATTCACCCTATTTTGTGATTACATGCAAGTGAATGCAATGCAATGCAGTGGACGAGCTCTGTTTATTCTAAGTTATTTAATTCAGCAGGGTCAATCCTTCTACATCTAGCTAGCTAAATTTTTATGTTCCAATAATTTAGTTGATTATGAACAGTAATAATTTATGCTCAAAACCTTATTATCTAGTTAATAATATCAAAATTAACTTAGCGAACTTGACAACGCAAAAATGACCCCATGCTGAGGAACGAAGATTAAGTTGTTATTTATTTATAAGCTGAGATTTTGTAAATTCTGGTTTAATACTACTGTGGTGAGAGCTGTCTACTAGCCAAATTGGTAGACAGTAATTTACGTCAATATTTACGTTCCCAAGATTTATCGTGAGAAACAACCAATCGGAAGACTGTGTTTGTTTGTTCAGGTAGAAACTTTTAAAAGTCACGTTGGTTACACGCGCTCTCTGTCTTTCTCTCTATTTCTCTCTCTCACTTTCTCAACCGGCAGTCGATTTGTTTTCTACCAAAACATACTACTTGAGAAGTCTTAATGTAAAACGAAAACGACATTGTTGTAAACAGGAAGATTCTATTTTACTCTTTTTCGTTGTTGTGATGTATGTACTAAACAGTGAAGGCAAGGCTTATGAGATGATATTAGGTGATCTGTGAACTAGAAAATCGTTTTAAGGGGTGTGAACTTCAATATTTTATTGGGTTGACACACACGTATGAATGCAATAACTCCCATCACAAAACAAAGGCAAAAATACGCAACAAATGCAATTAGCTGCGGTTTATTGGCTTGAAAACTTTCCTTTCTAGCAGATTAGCAGACCCAAGGAATAAGTTTCTAAATTATAAGTCTACCAGGAGGGACCTGTCTATGGTTAATTATTACTGTTATATGAAATGGAAACAGTCTTAACAAGAACAAAGGTATCTCTCTGATATTTTCGCCATATGAAAACTGAAGACAACAATGGACGAAATCATTTGATTTGAAAACAAAATACGTAGTTCAGCGGAGAGTCTCTTTTTGCGGCGGCGAATTCACTTTCTTAGCTGTACAATCACAAATATATATATGCATATTTTTGTATTTGTGTGTACATTAGTTTTATCCGATAAGAATAAAAATAAGTTAAGGTTACTGTTGCCAAGATATTTCAAAAATGTGATGAATCATCAAATTGTAACTAGGGCGGGGATGGAATGAAGATTGGTGAGAGGGTAGTGCAGATGCGTTGTCAAACAAAACATAGTTATTAATGTTAATCAACACATAATAGTGGCTGTATAAGAAGTGTGATAATAGAAAATCTCGTCAACTCTGGTCATTCCATCTCAACAAACGTATCCTCCTTCAAAGTGATCACCTACACAGCCAAGAACAACCTACAACAAAAGCCAATAAGCTTTCGTCTCCTTTCTATTACTGAAGCCTTAGTCATTCAGTCCGAAAAACCAGAGTTATCTATACAAAAGAAAATCATCCAACCATCTCTACTATCCCAGTGGCAACAACAATGTGTGACTTCGATTCACTTGACGTTTGTGTGCTTGTTTTTCTTTTCTTATAACTCTCCATAACCTTTGTCATCTTTAGAACGCTTACATAATTCCATATTCTCCTTTTCTTTCTATATCCATCCTAAACACAACTCACTCACATTAAACTATTCATCTTATTACGTAACTGCATTACACTTATCCGACTTCTTTTATGTGTTGATCAACATTAATAAGTATGTTTTCTTTGACAACACATCACCACTACTCTCTTACCAGTCTTCACCCCCAACCCCGCCCTAGTTACAATTTGATTACTCATCACATTCTTAAAATGTCTTGATAACAATAACCCTAACTTATTTTTATTCTTATCAGACAGAACTAATGTACATGCACACATATATACAAAAATAAGTATAGATAATTGCGATTGTACAGCTAAGTGAATGAATTCGCCGCCTCAAAAGGAGACTCTTCACTGAACTACGTGTTTGGTTTTCGTTAATGTGTGGATGGGGATTATTCATGAATTTGATTTAATTAAGGTTTATTCACGGATTGATATCAGTTAGAGAACCATTGAAAGCCAGCAAGGAGTTCTCAGTAGCTCTTCCTCTAGTCTTAGTTTGGGACTCATAAGCAGTACGCACCCACTACTAGGGTTCGAAGCCAGGACTTTCCGGTTACAAGGCAGGCTCACAGATCATTCAGCTACTCAGGCCTGACTCAATGGCCAGCCCACAAATTTTAACTTCTACCAATTCGTGATATATTTGGTGCGACTGGCATCAGCCATAGTCCTCACCCCTAACAGGGTCGGTGGATCGCAGCGGTCACGACTTCTCAATACAAGTGTAGACAACTTCATCTTGCAGCCAGCTAGTCACTAGCGAACATCAGAATAATTTTTAAAAGTTTTTCAGGATGGACATGATTTTTTTAAAGTTCGCTCACACATTTTGATGGAGTACATGAAGGGAAAATAGAAAATATTTTTTTAAAAACAGCCTATTCTAATGAAAGGCAAAATAATGAATACAGTTTTTGAGAAGACAGATAGAAAAGAAGAAATTAAAAGTTCCATATAAGTCAATAAATTAAAAACATCTTGAAAAGATGTTGGAGAACAATGGTTACTCTCAAAGATTCATTAACAAGTACGAAAGATCTGAGGTCTGAAATGTCAAACATATCACAGTAGAGAAAAAGCCAAGCCACATTCAACTTGATTATAAAGGTGAAAACATTAGAGCAATGGGCAACAGAAGATTGAGGACGTCACTAACCAGAGCCTATCCTGCAGCTAAGCTCGTCCCCGTCTATCGAACAACTTGCTCTCCTTTGGTGCAATCAAACATCGATAGATATCCTTCTCATGTTAACTCCAACTGTATATACAAATTTACATGTATCTGCGGGAGCAGTTACATTGGAAGGACAGGAAGAAGAAGGGCATATCTACGATTTTATGAACATGTACCAAAAAGCTTATGTCTAAATGGAACAAATGCTTTCAACAGTGCCATCGCCAGACATCTCCTTGACACGGCGGTCATGAGGTGGAAGTTGCAACATCCTTCAAAATTGTCAACAGACAAAATGACCGATTCTGCTCAAGTTCGTCGAAGCGACCTCTATCAAACACCTGAAACCCAATTTAAGTGTTCGGAAAGAAGCAGTTATCAGTCTTTCTTTGCCCATCCTAGTAACTGGATATTTTCATCCCCCTCTCATCTGATTACGTAATGCTGAAAGTTTCCATTGTGTATGATCATTATTGTTTGGGATAAAGTTTTTATTATTGCTATATATATTACTACTGTATGTATATAATGATTGATTTTTTGTTTAAAAATGAACTCTGTGCAAGTATGTTAAAGTTGTTTCTGTGGATATACTTAATAATGACTTTGGCCTGTGAGCAGCTGATGAGAAACCAATGAAACTGTTGTTTTTGCTTTATTCAAATTCATAACGTCGGGAATAAATGTATGAAACAATCATTCTTTCATTATTATTATTATGGATGTATAAATATACCTGTAGAACCTGATGAAGAAGAGCAGGTTATCGAAAATAAAATAATCTAAATAAACTTACCACGTTCAATTTCTTTTACAATAGCCATAAATTTTGGCCATATAAGTTTCACAGCATAAAGTGATGTGCTGACAGTATCTTTATTGGTTGAACAATCACCACCTGGGCTAGCAGTACACGACGAATCAATAGCCAGCCAATAAGCTTGATAACCAAGTAATCTAGCTGTATCTGGTTGCCATTGATACATGAATATTGTACTAGTTAATTGTTTAACTAAACGACATCGAAATTGGGGATTTGATGCTGATGAAATAGCCAATGATATACACAGGCCAGTTAATCCAGTCATATAACGTATATCTATGGGGGAACGTGAATTTCCCATTGGCTTGGTATCCGGTCGATAGATAGTTGTATTCATTTGTGAATTGGCTACAGTTTGTACATCTGTGTACATATTTTCATTCAATGTTGATAAATAACTCAGGATACGCTCATAGATTGTGTACACCGTGTCTTGTAGATCAGTGGATTCACTGATAATTTTCTGTGTAATTGGATTCATTGAATTTGAGATGTGATCATCTGAGAAATTTAATATTGGCGTAGAAAGAACTAAAAACAGAGAGAGAGAGAGAAAAAGAGAGAAAAAATTGAGATCATACGAATTTGTAAACAGCAACAACAACAACAGATAACAATAAGCAAAAATGGGAGGAACCTGAAAGAAACAACCTCCTTCACCTACCTACCTGAAAAGCATCGTTTCAACTACATGTGGACGGAACTGATGAGGATATCACAGCAAGAATCGGAAAAGCAAGACAAGCTTTCACCACTCTCAAATCTGTGTGGAGGTCAACACTCGGCACTTAGCATCAAAAATAAGATCCGGATTTTCAACTCCAATGTGAAGTCAGTGCTACTTACTATACGGATCAGAGACTTGCAGTGCGCGTCATAAAGAGCATCTCAAACAAACTACAGACCTTCATCAGCAGTTGTCTTCGCTCAATACTACTCAAAATCAGATGGCCAGAAAAGATCAGCAACATAGATCTCTGGCAATGATCGGACCAACCAGGAACCGATTGTGAAGCAAATAGGCAGGAAGAAATCGAGTTAGGTGGATTGGCCATACTCTAAGGAAACCATCAAGTGACATCACTAGACAAGCCATTGCTCAAGTGGAACCCGAAAGGGAAGCGGCGAGTTGGTCGTCAGTGCAAGGGTGACTTGGAGGAGGTCATGTGAAGAGGAGATGAAAGCATGTGGGCAGACGTGTGGAGCCAGGTGAAAACGTTGACAGAGAACCGAACGCAATGGAGACGCATGGCTGAAGCCCTATGTTCCTCTAGGAATTAAAGGAAACAATAATAATAATACTATTTTGTAAAACTATATACTCCTAATATCTGTTTGAAATGAGTAGATGTTGCATACCACTCATGTCAACCGGTGGGTGGTGCTTGATTACCATTTATGGTATAACTTGGTTTCCAATGGAGACCACTATGAAATTTCACCGATCGAACTGTGTAAGCTGTGAACCTGACCATAAAATTTCAACTTGCTGTGACCAACGCTCAGCTAATTTGGGCTTAGTACGTTTACTTAAATAAAATAATTTGGTGGATGGTGACTAGTAGTGTTGGAATCCAGGACAACACGTGTTTCGTCATATTTTTAACTCGTCAGCTAACTGGATGTACCTGCATTCCCCAGTGAGTCAAAGATGGTATCCCCCCACTGAGGCTTGAACCTAGTACCCATCGTTTGAAACTCCAAAGCGTTATACACTAGACCACTTAGGCCACGAGAGCCAACAACTGAGAAAAACACTACATTTACCAAAATGGACGCTCCCCCTTTTCGTCTTCATATCCATGAACATAAGCTAACCGTCAAAAGAAATGACATCCACTCCCTCATATCACTACATACAGATAACCACAGACATTAATGAGACTGGGACAACCAACGTTCAAATATTACACAGAGGAAACACCAAGAATGCTAGAGAATTTTTAGAAGCCAGCCTGGTATTCCAGTGAATCGTCAATCAATAGACACATGAGATAGACAAAATTTACCAACCGATAAGAAGGAAATCTCAACCACAAAGGGTCAAAGTTCAAGTCAAAGAAACAATGAGTTCCAATACAAGTAGCCTAGAGGGTGTGAAGACACATAAAAACAATCACATTCAAGGTGACTAGGAGAAATAACTAATAGACTCGTGGATAAATCTAAAAGCTCACTTCAAACTGAAGTATGCGTAGAAGATGTTGCCTAGTAGTAGGGGACAATGAAAGCTTTGCAAATAAATCATCCAGATAGCTCAGAGAACACATCCCCATCAAAAATCCAGAGCCAACTCTTCCACAGTGTGTATCAGTTGGAATATAATTCACTTTGAACTTTCCCACTGACTGATTAGACCGAAGTGTTCAGCTTCAGTTGACATTTCAGCTCCTTGTGCGGATGGTTAGACGATGTCCGAGGATTTTTAATTTTAAAAAATATTTTGGGGCTGAAATGTCAACAGAGGTCCGCTACTTAGGTCTACTCAATCAACGATAAAGTTCGAAATGAATTGAATTACTATCATTATTCCTTTGAGTACTGATTGGAACGTAGGGCTTCAGCAGCACACTTCAAATTCAGTCTGTCCTCCACAATCGTTTTAAGCTGGTTCCATGATCTCCTCTATGTTCTGTGTGTCTGTCTGTCTGTTTTCGAAATAGAATTTTGCTCCGATGTGCAGCAGTTCGAGTCGCTACACTTCACTCCATTTAGCACACAAAGCAAGAGTAGAAAGTAGAAGAAACGCAAAATAGAGACAGTAAACCCGGATGTGAGACAAAAGGAATCTTAATATGGAAGAACAATATAGTTTCACTGGAAAATATAAGTCACAAGGAGTGGATGCATCTGCGCCAGTCATTGAAAACGATCATTTTGAGCCATATCACCGATTATCTGCAGCTATTGGTTTTTACCTTCCCGACAACCCCAACCAGGAAGTCTACACCTTCCTACGTGGCTGGCTTAAACTAACTGTTGTGAATTTCGTTGACTGGTGCCATGTTTTCGTTTGACCGCCGCTGGCTCTTTTCCAACCTGACCCGAATTCAGCTAGCATTGCTCGTCGTCGCGATGACTAGGGATGCATACATAACACATATCTTAACCATCTCAGTCGATGTAGCTTCACAGCCTCGTCTATTGGTTTCCCCTCCTTACCTAGTACTCGACGCCTAACTTCAGTATTGCTCACTCTACTATACTACTTCATACGAAAGGTAGAATGTAGGCACCTATGATCGAAGGTGTTAGCCTCGTGCAACGCTATACTCGTCATCTTATCACATTCAGGCTACAATCGAGGACATTTTTGGAGAGTGGTTTCCCTCAACGGTCTCCTCAGCGTGTCGTATCCATTTTCAATCCCTTCTGCATATTTTTTGGCAAAAGGTTCTTGGTCGGCTCGTCACCAGCCAGAGTCCCACATTGGTAATCCTTTCTAAGCAGCCGTCTAATTTGCTGTATGGAGCGAAGAAGGCTGTTGATGGAAGTCTGTAATAGCCTATTGGAAAAGCTTTCGAGGACGCTCAGTGTAGGTCTCTGAAGTATATAGTAAGTATCACTGTGAATTGATATTAGTGCTGAAAATCCGGATCTTGTTCATCAGTGGCATTGTGCAACAGATTTCCAAAGCAGATGGTATGGAATTCTCAGAAAGTAGCTATTGTGAAGTCATGTGTTGTTTTCGTTTATTTTTTAAGCCATTGCAATTGATTATCAGAGACAGAGACATATATGAGAGATGAGTTTTGTATGTGGAAAGGTGATACTAATCACGTTCCCAGGCTGAAGGAGGTGGAGCTGGGTTCGAACCCGGGAACTACTGAATAAATAATATTGTATTGTTGTGTTTTTCATTAAATAAACTTCTAACATTCTTATATTTCGTTCATGTTGGCTAGTAGTGGGATCCCAAGTGGTGTGCTACATCCCACTTGGAACCCGTCAGCTGGCAGTACCTGCAATCTGAGTAAATGACTCGTATTCCGGTTGAGAATCACAGCCACCATAGATTGTTTGAAGAAAAAAATTCAGTGTTTAACAAACAAATCAGGGACCAAGTTAAAGTATAATTGCCCAGGAGTATGAGTGTCGGTGGCATAGCGGTTAGGACGCTCGCCGACCATGCGCATGGTCTGGGGTTCGATCCTCGGCCGACGAACTCCTTTACCTCACTAAGCCAGAAATATTGCTGGTGAAGAGGTTAGGTTGGGCATGAGGCTAGCAACCCCATCCTGTAAAAATAAACACTGCTACAGAAACTTCAAGCCACTAGCTTGAAGCCCTATGTTCTACTGGGGAACGTGAAGGAAAATTTTTAAAAAATTATAATGAGCGCTCCAGTGACCTTGGACGCATACTGTTCGTTAGATAACAAGACCTACTATTACTGTTATGTCACTATGATCTCTGGACACTAATTGAGCCGCGAATTTCATCCCACTCTCGTTCTTAGGTACTGTTTGGACGATTTGTTAATACCTGGTTGCGGCCACTATTAGGGTTAGGATCAAGGTTAGGTTTGGGTTCAGTATTATTTATCTTTATTATCCGCATTTTCCTTGTAAATAGCTGTCGATCCTCTTACTGGCACCCCACACTAATTCAATCGAGGTCTTTTGGGGATGGCTGAAAAACAGGATAAGAGCAATAAATGGGCCACAATAAGAGCTCATCTTCAGTCACCTCGGTGAATACATGCACAGACACTGGTGGTCTAACTTAAAAACTGATAATCCTCATAATAATTTGGAGTTATTTTTAAGTCATGTCAGAGAAAAACATCCTGTTTATTGTATTTTCAGGTATTCCTCTTGTATATATGCGTCATATTTTATGCCATAACTACTTCATTTCCTGGTTGATCGGCTCAAGGTGATCCGTGCGTTAGCGTTCCATAGATCGTTATAGTTTAACTTTACCAAAGCAGGAAGAAAAATAATCCGTTAATGAGGTAAGAAGAAACCTTTTGTATATATGCATACTCAGAAAAGTAACGTGAGAACATTTCTGTATCGAAGAGACATTAATGACAACGCTTAAACTGACATAAAAAAGAACTGTCGGAAAATTATTGGAAGTGTTTAATATTTTCTGTAATTTTATTCTAAAAGCGCTGAGTTGTTCAATATCTTGTTGGTATATAAACGCTTCAAGCACATGTGTCTCTAGCATATCCTGTTTTGTAGTCATGGCAACAAAATGCATGAAGTGGATAAAATAGTACATTAATCAATAAAAACAACTGATATCCATTTAGAAAAAATGGACTTTACATGATTCAGTAGTCAAATAGGTAACATTTAAGCTACAGGACTGGACTACATCGACTACTACCTAAAAAACAGGAAGTGGAATGGTTGGTGGGGCGTGTTGACTGCTTCACTTATGTGCGAATTTGCATCAGCCAATCTAACGGGTTGATCTCTAACGAAATCTCAGCACGGATACACAGAAGGCTCATTTGGTATTTGCCTGTCAACTTACACCATCTCTGGCTTAGTAGACGTGTGTACTGCTCAGCCGCATTTCGCTCAGTCCTCCTTTATGTATGTGAGTGAGACAAGGCCGTTGAAAGTGGAAGACATGAAAAGCCTGGCCAGTTGTCTTTGATCACAGCTGTCTACGTTCTGTCTCCCATAATAGGTGATAGGTTTTAGTAGGGTGAGTTATATCGAGGTTAGACTTCGAGTATTAGGTTAGGAGAAAACATCAGTCGATGAGGTTGTGAAGTAGCTATATCGACTGAGGTGGATAGGATATGTACTGAGCATGCCAAGCAATCGTCACCCTCTCGAGCAATGTTAGCTGACAGAGAATTGAGTTGTGAAAGAGTCAGAGGTGGTTTAATCACAATATGAGGTCCGTTAATGAAATCTTTAGCAGTGAGTTTGAGCCAGCCACGCAGGGACGCGTAAACGTCCTGATTGGTTGGGGTCCACGGGATGGTAATAACCAATGTCTGGAGATAACTGGTAACATGGTTCAAAATCGTTGTTCTCAATAGCTGGCACAGATACATTCACTCTTTGTGATTTGCCAGTCATATCCAATAAAACTCTGCTGTTTTTCCATATTGCTATTCTTTTTCCCTCACTCACACTTCTCTTTATTATCTCTCTCTTTTGAATCTCTCTTTACTGTTTCCTCTTGCTTTGTGTGCTCCATGGAGTGGGGCATGGCAAGTGGAACTGCTGTACATCTGTGCAAAGTTCTACGTTGAAGCCAGTCAATCAACCAACTAAGCGTTTGAAGAGAAATATTTTCAATTATGAACATATAGCACAGTGAAACAGTTTTATTCATCATTGGATGACGAGGTTTTGAACACAATTCATTATTGTTCGTAGCTGTAACTACACAATTTCGGAACGCCACTTTTGTAATGCTCCTTCTTCCTTCCCATTTGCCGTAGGAGTAGTAGAATTTTTCAGATATCCAGGACAGGGAGGAATTGGTTGAATCATTCTCCTGTTGTACGTATTCGCTTTCAGTCGATTCGATAAATTAAGCTTCACTTTCAAGTATTAAATCCTATAAATTTGATTAGTTTCAAGTTTGATTACGGATTGATCTTAAAAAGAGAAACATTCAGTACTCCCTGGTTGGTTTTTTACAATTGTCATCTAACTGATATCAATCCGTGATCAAAATTAAAATGAAACTTCAATTATATCGATCTCTGTCTCTCTACCCAGTCATCTTACTGTATGGTTGTGTGTGTGTGCGACTGCATGTGTAAAGGGGCTGCTGAGTGTTTTTCCTACGTTTCTGCTCTTATTTAGAGTAGACTAATCTAGATTTCTCCAGTGCTTGGTGATCCGCTAATATATTTGAACCCATCCTAGTACTACTACTACCTTGGCCTATGTATTTGACCTCATAGCCATAACAGGGTATTAGACAAACTAAATTATTTTTTTCTGTCATATTGTAACGACAGAAGACAAGGGCCAGGTAACATCATTTGTTGAGAAAATCAAGAGATACTTGTATATTTTTATGTACACTATTATTCGTTATTGTTAGAAGAGAAGCAACGTCTTCTGATTGGTTGTTTTTCTGCTGAAGGCTATTTTGTCATCTCTTTTTGACCGTTTCTTAGAACGTTAAGCCATATATCTGCGAATCGTATGCGCCCACGCAAAGTCTGCTGAGATTGGTTGTTTAGTTCCTCAAGGTTAAGATTTGTTCTTGTTTTTTTCTCATGACCAAGATTTGGGACGTAACACTGACGTAAATTGCTGTTTACCAATTTTGGATAGCAGACAGCTCTCACCACAATATTACCGAAACATTATTGATGCGGGGGATTACATATTGCCACAGTGTGCCAAAGTTTTACACTCGTAAATTAACTGATTTGACATCAGTTAGAGAACCCCATGGGAAAACCGACCGCGGACTACTGGACAACCGTTTCTATCGACCTATTTTGGAGTTCATCAACAATACGCACCCACCTCACTGGGTTTCCAACCCAGGACCTTCAGGTTACAAGATGAACCCGTGGACAATTCAGCCGTTTCGATTCAACCCAATGACCTATGAATTCCAGCTTCTGTCAATTTTTAGATATATACAGAGAAACTGTCAGTGAGTGACAGGTGAGTAACTCTTCTCTGATCTGAAATGATTGATCCCACTGGTTAAGACCTCTCGCTATATTCATTAGATAGATGTGAATACTAACGTTCGCTAGAACGCAAATAAATCAACCACACATTCTTACTCTTATCATAAGTCACATTATCAAAGTTATCAGAGTGTTAATTTACTAAAAACAAGTATTGAATATCAATGTGTCATAGATGGACTTTGTACATATCACAAAGAATAAGTACATAGACAAAGAGAATAAGAACACAAAAGAAATCAAAGCATGAACTTACATATTCGACTTAAACATGATATAGAATAATTGAAACGATCTGGAAAATTCATATCTAAACCATGCAAGAGGATTTGTAGAACACGATTCAATTCAGCTCGACCAGCCAGATAAGTGAAAGCTTTTAAATGACCATGACGTACTGACGGGGAGACATGTTCATAGGCTGGTTTATATGAAGCCTAAAATAAAACAAACAAGATGTAACAATGGCAAGAATAATAATAATAGTACTATCTTATTAGTATAGTTATTGAGAGAAATTTATCGATCATTCATTTCAACACAAACTTGATACATTACGGGCACCAGGAAGATAGAAACAGCTGTCCAGTACTCCTTATTGGTTTTCCAATGGTTCTCTAAATGATGTCACCTTATAGTCAATCCTGTGATTAAAGTATATTTTATCAAGGGATTAATGATGCATTCAATTTATCAACGTTAACTGTTTATAAATGAGCTTTAGAGATAAGCTGTACCTTGATCGACAGGGTGTTGAAAAGTAACTTTATAGAGTAATTCATGATATTTTTTGAAGAATTGAACCAATTCACCTCCATTAGATTATTCCAGGAATTTATCGTTAGACCCTCCGGATCATTTTGTGAAATGAATTACACCAGTAGAGACCTTTCATGGTTAAGTAAAGGACAAACAAAATCTATTCATAGCGCTATTGTATCTGACTCATCTTGTGGATACAGAACACAAAATTGACGTTAACCATGCTTTCAGGGTCATTTACCGCATATCTACGAATCTCAATTTTGCCTTAAGAGTTCGACTGCTAAATACTGCTGAGGCCAGCTGTTGGGATCCAAGCCTAATTTGTGCATCCAAAAGAAGTTAGTTCAGATGTTATCCTTACCCGCTTGGCCATCTAGGTTTGAATGATACTCAATTTTCTGGAATTTTCCTAATTTTAGTTGATATTCTAGTTGCTATTATATTTTTATTATTAATACAATTTATACATCTTTAGTGAACTGTAATTCCATTGTGATCTTACTTAACAAATCGATAGTATTTAAAAAAAGAACACCAATATTGTTATTGACTACTAGTCTAGAATATTCTATGTACATAAACATATACGTATATAATTGTAGAGGAACTTATCGAAAAGGATATTCTTTGCTCAATTATTTTGTCTTATTGTTTTGTCTAAGTTCATAAAAGGAACTAATCACTTTATATATATATATATATATACATATATATATATATGGTTGTACCTTTGCTATCCTGACGCTCCCCTCCCCAAACTTTCCCTTCTTTACAGGGCTTGCCAGATGCCAAGCGGAATTAAGGGGTGCATCGACCAAGGATAGAACCCGGACCCCATGTGTGTGTGTGTGTGTGTGTGTGGTTGACGAGTATTCTATACCTGAATCCCTGACATTACTGACTTTCTTTTAATAAATATACATACATATATAAACTAAGGGTATTTACAATATAAATAGAAAAGCAAAGAATACCTTCTGGAAGAGCCTCTTCTTTACTTCATGCCGATCATAATCTCTGACTGGATTTCTATTCTCTGGTGATTTATTACGTTTCACCTTTTCAGCGGATTCATCATCTGCATCAGACGACAGCAGGTCTTCTTCCTCTTCAACTGATTCATCACCACTGTCATCTTTACCACCGCCAACATCACCATTTTCCATCTCTTCAACAACATCATTATCATCCAGACCACTGTCATCTAGATCCCCACCAGCACCACTGTCTGGATCACCTTCACCGACAAGATAAGCACTGAATGATCCACGTGGATATAATGGAAACTTAACATAGATTAACGATTGAACAGACCATATTAATGCATATAGTGGTCGTGTAAACCGTAACGGCATTTCTGGTCTAGTTAAACCATATTCCAGGTCATTGAGAAGATTGGGTAGAACTAGACTTGGTCGTAGTTTACATAACATTGGAATAATTTCTACAGTTATATTAACGATTGTAATTGATTTTGAATACAGAAGATGATTTAAACAGATCGGTGTGAACAGATTGACAATTTGATCAATTTGTTCCACCGAGAGATAGAACTGGAATTGTGAAAAGAAAAAAGTAAATAAATAAATAATACAAAGGATATCAATTTTATGTCCTATCTCTATAATATATATTTCACAACAAAAGAGATAGGTCTCCTATTTTCACCATTAATGGGTTCTGGGGATTCCATTTGCTTCTGAAGCCAGCCTATACTTTCAGAGATCGATGAATCCTCCCTATGTATGTGTGTATGTGTGGCCACACGTACATTCAGTAGAATCCAACGAATCCGCACCGAAGATACACTTGATGATCATGAAGAAAGAAAGTTGACACAAACTCTGGTTGATAATAATTACCCAGACAAGTTCATCAGGAGATATAAAGTAGTCAGAACTCCATGACCCACTCTTCCACACGTCACTAAGAAAGACGTGTACATCAAGCTACCTTACACAGGTGATCATAGCAGCTTGACAACTAGACATAAATTGAATGCTGTGGTTAAAAAGACTTTCTAAGCAGCTCAGATCAGAATAATTGAGAATGTGAAGTCAATAAATGCATCTAAGCCATTAGAATATGGGAAAAATGATGTCACATCCCACTGTAATTAACAATTTGAATGTACGTGTGGACACATATACATAAGGAGGACTCATTGACCTCTGCAAGTAAGGGTTGGCTTCAGAGCATATTCCTAAATGGCTACAGAAGCAAATATAATCCTCAGAACCCATTTATGTTGAGAAAAGGACACCTAGCTCCTTTATTGTCAAATAAAAGAATAGAAAAGAAACAACATAAAGGTATAAATGACTAAATCACCAGTTCGACGGGTCACACTTCAGAGTAGTTCTGTGTTTCTAACACACCTTGTAGATACGCTTAGGTAGGAAGACGATGTTAATAAGGCAGTTAAATTAATCTATCGCATTCTTTACAAGTTCGTCGTCTACATTATTAGCTGAAGCAATCACAAAACCACCTGAAGTAGATAAAGCTATGCGTTCTGAAACAATTCCTGTCGCTACTTTCCTTACACTAGGGCATCACTACATGAATGTAATGACCATACTCCCCACCCCACCCCACCCCATCCTTCACCGAAGCCTTTTACAAGCTATCATTATCTTCACTATTTTCTCATACTAACTACTTTATCTTGAAATATTTATCACGTGACCAATTTGAATTAATAATAATAGCGACAGATTATATCTATGTATACATTATTATTACTATTATTGTAACTATTACTACTGATATTACTCTGTTTGCAATTCCTGATATATTTTCTAATGACTAATTGTTTATCTAACCTCGCCTAGATTACTAGGTCACTAGTATTCTAGCCGGTCCCAAGCCCGGATAAAGAGGGAGGGTTGGGGCGTGGTGCTAGCAACTCCACCCCCAAAACTTAACCAAATTGCTACTAAAACTTCAACGCACAAATATATTCAAAATTCTAAAATTACAAATAGTGACCTTATTTCTCGCTGGAATCAGGGAAGTGAAATGACGCAGACTGGTGAAAGCCTTCGGGAAGCCAGTCAGCCGATGTGCCTTCTTTCGATGAAAGCGAAAATAAGGATGGGGACGTGGAATGTTCGTACAATGTACGAAGCTGGGAAGGCTGCTCAGGTAGCCGCAGAAATGAGGAGATAGAGAATAGAAGTGTTGGGAATATGCGAGGGCAGATGGAACGGATGTGGAAGGAGCCAACTATCAACTGGAGAGACAATAATCTACTCCGGTCACCCAGAGGACAATCACGAGCACACCGAGGGAGTAGCCATCATGATGTCACCAACAGCGGCTAAAGGTCTCATGCAGTGGGAACCAATCTCCTCCAGGATAATGACAGCCAGTTTCAACTCAAAAGGAAAAAAGGTTACAATCATTCAGTGCTACGCGCCTACAAACGCCTCAGAAAAAGAGAAGGAGGATTTCTACAGTCAACTACAAACAGTAATGGACAACGTCCCAAAGAGCGATATCAAAATCCTGATGGGCGACATGAATGCGAAATTGGGAGGAGACAATACAGGAAGAGAACTCACCATGGGTCGTGAGGCCCTCGGTGAAATGAACGAAAATGGCGAACTCTTCTCAGACTTCTGCGCCTTCAATGATTTGGTGATTGGTGGCAGTGTGTTCAAACACAGGGATATACACAAGGCAACATGGATTTCACCAGATGGACACACCAAAAACCAGATAGACTTCATTTCAATCTCAAGGAAGTGGAGACGGAGCCTACTGGACACAAGATCGAGGAGAGGAGCAGATGTGGGTTCAGACCACTATCTAGTACAAGGGACTTTCAAGGTGAAGCTGAAAGCCTCGAGGATAGCTGGGGATAGGCCACAATGCAAGTTCAACACTCACAAACTGAAGGACACAATCACACAGGACATTTTCACTGCAACTGTCAGAGCAAAGCAGGAAACACTTCGTGGCACCACTGAGGAATCATCCGTGGAAGACCATTGGAACTCTCTGAAGGTAATTTTCAACGAAACGTGCTCAACGGTTTTAGGAAGAAAGAAGAAACAAGACAAGGAATGGCTCTCAACAGACACTTGGAAACTAATAGAGGAGAGGAGAAAAGTGAAAGAGAAAATGATTCAATGCAAAGATGGACAAGAGAAAGAGACGCTGAACTCAACTTACACAGCACTGGACAAAGAAGTGAAGAAGAGTGCCAGGAAGGGCAAAAGACAATTCTACGACAACCTGGCTACTGAAGCTGAGAAGGCAGCAGGCAAAAGGGACCTGAGGACACTATATCAGATAACCAAGTCTCTATCCGGGAAGAGATCAACACAAGTGAAACCTATAAAAGACAGCCAAGGGAACCCAATTACCAAAGAAGAAAGACAGATTAAACAATGGGCGGACCACTTCAAAGGACTCTTGAATCGACCACCACCTACAACCCGTCCAGAAATACCAACAACAGCACGTACACAACTGCAAGTTGACACCAATCCTCCAACGAAAGCTGAAGTCATGAATGCAATCAAGCTTCTGAAAGCTGGAAAAGCAGCTGGACCAGATGGAATACCCCCGGAGGCACTGAAAGCGGACCCAGAAACGACGGCAGATATGCTGACTCCATTACTGCAAAAGATCTGGAAGGAGGGAAAGGTGCCTACTGACTGGAGGAAAGGTTACGTGGTGAAACTACCAAAGAAGGGCGACCTGGGACTCTGCAAGAACTGGCGAGGAATCATGCTCCTGTCGACGCCAAGTAAAATCCTGAGTCGCATCATCCTGGAGAGAATCAAGGACGCGCTGGATACAGAACTCCGACCAGAACAAGCTGGATTCAGGAAAGGCAAATCATGTTCTGACCAAATTGCAACTCTACGCATTATCATCGAACAAAGCATGGAATGGCAATCAAATCTCTACCTCAACTTCATAGACTTTGAGAAGGCCTTCGACAGCGTTGACCGCGAAGTAATTTGGAAACTACTCGAGTACTACGGCGTACCCCAAATATTCATCAACCTTATTCAACAGCTGTACGACAACGGCACATGTCAAGTGATCCACAACGGAAAACTCAGCGAAGCGTTTGGAGTAAACACAGGAGTCAGACAAGGGTGCTTATTATCACCAATGATATTCCTAATTGTGGTGGACTGGATTATGCGTCAGACGGTGGGAAACGAGAAGACAGGGATATCCTGGACCGACGTGAAGAACCTAGAAGACCTGGATTTCGCGTGTGGATGATTTATGTTTGATGTCACACAAAATCGAAGACTTACAAGCAAAAACCGACAAACTGGTCGAAGAAGCAAAGACAGGACTCCAGGTGAACATAGAAAAGACGGAGGTTATCAAAATAACCAACCAACAACAGCAGCAGCAACAGCAGCAACACCTAGCGCCAATCACCATCAACGGGAGGGATTTGAAAGAGGTTACTTCATTTACTTATTTAGGGAGCATTGTCTCAACTACAGGAGAAGCGGACGGACGAGGATGTCAAATCGAGAATCGGGAAGGCGAGAAACACATTCATCAACCTGAAACCAATCTGGAAATCGTCACTCAGCCTGCATCAACAACAAAATTCGGATTTTCAATACAAACGTCAAGTCAATTTTGCTTTACGGATCAGAAACTTGGCGGGTCACCAAGAATATTTTCAACAGGTTGCAGACCTTTATCAACAACTGTCTTCGCTCCATACTGAAGATTAGATGGCCAGAAAGAATCACAAACAAGAAGCTATGGGAACAAACGAAACAGGAACCAATCGCCCAACAAATATGCAGGAGGAAGTGGAGATGGATTGGACACTCGCTGAGGAGGCCGTTGAGTGACATCGCGCGTCAAGCCCTCGAGTGGAACCCGAAAGGGAAGCGGCGAGTGGGACGTCCAAGGGTGACATGGAGGAGATCGTGTGAGGAGGAGATGAAACAGTATGGAATAACATGGACGCAAGTGAAAAGAACAGCAGAAGACAGAAGCAAGTGGAGACGTGCAGTTGAAGCCCTATGTTCCACTAGGAACCCAAGGGAACAATAATAATAATAATATAATTGTTTATCTAAGTGATGTAATTGAAGCGTAATGCATTTTATCTTAATTTTAAATCTCTCATACTCCCTGTCCTGCTTATCCATTTGAACATGACCTGAAAAACATTCGCATTTCTGCATGACTAATTCAATGTAGTTTATTTGCTTATCAGTCTTATATCTTCTATAGTTTGGTTTGTAAGGGTTAGTTATGTTTTTACGAGTTGATCAGGAATTGATATCAGTTAGAGAACCATTGAAAACCAGGGAGTATGGACAGGTGGTGTTTCATCCTAGTTTGGGAATCATCGGGAGTACGCACTCACTGGGATTCGAACCCACGACCTTCCGGTTACAAGGCAATCAAGCTTGTATACCATTCAGCCACTGGGACCCGATTCAATGGCCAGTGCATGAATTCTAACTTCTACCGATTCGTGATTTAGTGCGACCCTAACCATTGTCGTTGTTGGGACATCCGTCCACACACGTGACATCTAATTAGACCTCACTGGTCACGAATTCTCACTAGCGAGCATCACATTAATTACATCTCCCAGTGTAATTTCAACAGTATGTATATCTGTGTATGTAGAGTATTCGGCTGACGAGTTCTACCGAAATTTGATGAATCCATCATTGAATCCTCCTGCTTTATTAACCACATTGGTTGCTTGTAGATAAGGATCTAACTGAAAAGTGAGTGAGGTCTATTTCTTCACTGAATCCATTTTGTAATCAATGCTCCCCCTCCTCCTCCTCCTCATCATCATCATCACGATCATCTCATAAACACGATAAACACACAAAAATTAAAAATAGGACTATTAACAAAAATCAACTTACTTCAGGCGGTGGATAGCCTAAGTCTAGCGCTTCAACTGGTGGGAATAGTTCATCCCGTAAACGACTAATTAAACAACGTAAAAATTTCCACATGAACACTGCCAACAATTTAGCTGAATCAATTTGATTAGATGAAGGGTGATAAAAGGATTCCAGGGACTGGTCAAAATAGAAACAAAAGTGTATATCACATTAGAGAAATATATATATATACATGCTTGTGGAGATTACTGAGAATAGCTTTCTTTGTGGCTCAGCTACGTATCAGTTTCTCCATGCGACAAATGATGTGTGAAGGATAAACTACCACAGCTTTGGGCCACTTCAATGTGTGTGTCTATAAGTTCACCTGCTCGTGTACAGCTAGTTATATTGATCGCACAAAGTGACCGCACACCGTCCAAATACATCTCTGAACATTATCTGGCATAGTTAGCAAAAGGACAATGCAAGACAGTTAGCAACTAGCTCAATTCTCGAGCACTTGGTGAACTCAAGCCACACAGTTCCACTAGAATCGGCTTTCAAGATCATCTACAAGGTGAGAGAGGCCAAATGGTACAAAGGGCGTCATCAGGTTTTTTGTTTTTTTTTTTACTTCGGCTATCTCCTACGGGAGGATGAGCCGGCTTCATGTACATCTTGAATCCGTTTGTAAGATAGTTCATGAAGTTTCATGGGAATTTGGTACGAGTGATGTCCCCAGAATCGCTCGGCCTTTTGTTTGAGAGTGCAGCTCTAGCCTTTACACAACCAAGTGTGACCTACAAGGCAGTAGGAGTGGAGTAGGGAGTCCACTATCCATTGGCAGCCGGTGACCGGAGTTCGGTTCATACGCCTTTTTGAATTGGGCCAGACATCCAGGACATCCAACAAGCCCTTTGTCCATACGTCTGCCAGTGAGCTTCATACGCCAGTCGTTGGAGGTTTGGAATCAGGGTTTAGCCACCTCCCCTAGACTGTCATCCAATGGACAGTCAACCCGGTGAAGAGCGCCGGGCATCCGCTTTCGCCCTCTCACTTTGGTGAAAGACACCTCCGCCACGTGAAGGCAGTGAGTACGACTTCCTCAGGAGAGGCTATGTAAGACGCCTGGTCATATGGGAGCATTTCAAGAGGTGTGCGGAGGGGTGGCCAACCCGCAGCGCAAGGCACCCACCCCCGACCATCCTGAGGCTTTGGAGGCATTTGTGTACGGCGGAGGCGTTGGCAATTCGTCAATACAACTCCAAAATGTGTATAAAGAGAAAGTTTGTCCAGTCTCTTATTCTACCATGATCTTAACCTCTTCACTAGTCGTTTCCTGGAAAAAAATTAGATTTTTTCTTTCCCTTTTTTAATTTTACTTTTAATTGGCTTTTACTTTAATAACTAATTCAGTATTATCACTTTCATATGTTCCTTTTGTACATTTTCACACCGTCTTCACACTTATTAAAATTGGCACTCAACTATATATATGTAAGTCTTCTAGAGGACAGTGATATAATGGTCGATGATTGAATGTGAAATGAAAGCCTGAGTCACCAGAGGATTCGAACTGATAGTAGTCCCGTACTCATCGGTCAACTTATCCTCCTAACCTGGCATTCTATGCTAAACATCTGGAGTGCTGATAAGGGAGGTAGGTTAATCAACGAATTCCATATTAATTTGTTTATTAAATATATTACACACAGTGAAGAAACAGTATTGCTATTTACTGGATGACAAAGTTTCGAACATAACTCTTTATTGTTCGTAATCATACCAATCAATTATAATCACACAACTTCGAGACTTCACTTTTATAGTTTTCTTTACTCTTTCCCATTTGTCGTAGGGATAGTAGGATATTCCATATGTCCTGGTGGACAAATGTTGAATCATTTCTATTGCAGGCACGTATTTTCAGTTGATTCAATAAATAAAGCTCATGATGAAAATCCTGTAATAAATAAAGCTTCAGTTATCGATCCCTTCATCCAGCCTGTTACATTAGATTTTAAAACTGTCATTTTATCTCATCATCCTATTGAGTGGTTGTGCGTAACTGCACTTGGTATAGTGCTATAGCTGATTTTTTATCTTGCTGGAGTCACCTAATCTAGACTTTGCTACACTTTTGTGCTCCGCTGGTTCGACTGACCCTATTCTACTATTTTGACCTATGTGTTTGATCTGACAACCATTGCAGCAGGCAAGGTATCAGACAAACTAAATTGATTTGCTTAATTGGCTCTGTAGGATTCTTTAACCGACAAATAAACCGACGCATATATCAATCAACGAAGTTGTGAAGTTATATCTTTTAAGATGGTTAGTTCATGTATAATTCCCATCCAGGCATTAATGAAAACAAAACACGTAGATCAGCGGAAAGTCTTTTTTCGCCAGCGGCGGCGAATTCCTTTTCCACCTTAGCTGTACAATCGCAAATATATATATGAATGGGTTATTTTATATGTATGTCTACATTAAGTTTGTCAAACAAAAATACAATTGGTTATGATTATTTTAACTAAACAGGTGAAGATTGGTAATACGAAATCACGTAAGAGTTCTAAATGAATACAAGAATTATAAGCAATTAAAGCACAGGCAAAGAAACAAAATTAAGTCATCAAAATCAAAAAAAAACTAATCAAATCAAAAAAGTTGTTACCAAGACAGTAGAAGTGGTTGAGTAATCCTCTTTTGTATACAATTCTTGTATTCATTTAGAAATCTTACGTAATTTCGTATTATCTACTTTGTTCCTATGTGCATCCTGAGTAAAACTCACTCATCAAACTATTCATATTATCACATAACTTAGTTTTAACAACTGTTTGTGACAACTCATCACCTTTGTTACTGCCCTAATTTCATTAGAACACCTAATTTTCTTGACTGATTTTGTATATTACGTAATGCCAATTACCAATCTTCACCTGTTTAGTTGAAATAATCATAACCAATTGTCTATTATTGTTTGACAAACTTCATGTACACATACATACAAAATAACCGATTCATATATATTTGCGATTGTACAGCTAAGAAAATGAATTCGCCGTCGAAAGGAGACTCTTCGCTGATCTACGTGTTTTGTTTTCATTGAAATGGTTAGGACAAGTTTTGTGCATGCCTTCTCTGATGTACAATGTTAGCTGACTGGCGAAGGACGAGGCTGGAAAAGAGTTACCAGTGATCAAACCTAAAACATGGCATCACTTCATGAACTCTTTGACTGTTGATTCCAGTCAGTCAGTCAGTCAGTTGTTAAGGTGGAGGTGTAGGTGTAGACTGTTTGTTAGACACTGTCAAGATGCTAAGCATCAATAACTTGAGACTATTATTGGTGATATGACTGAAAATCGTTGTTAATGGTGCAGATAATTTCAGTCTTTGTAAACTCTCACATCCACTAATCCCTCACGTTCTTCTATGTTAACACTGTCGTCTTCCACACACACACACACCTTTGCTCTTTCGAGTCGTCGTTTTTTCTTCATTCTCTCTCTCTCTCTGTCTTTATGTATTATTGATATCAGAATAAAACTTGGGCATTATGGTTGAGTATAACTCCATTATGGATAAGTTTTTATTGCGATAAATCACACAGTGTTGTTGTACAGTAATATTAACTGATGACCACGTTTCGAGCACAAACCATTGCCATTCATAATCATATCAAGGCACTACTCACACAACTTTTCCCTTCATTTATATACATGAGTGGAATCAATTAGATATTGGAATAAAATTCAGTATAGGATAAAGTACATTAAGTGATAATAATATGTGTCACTGATCAATTACAATGAGATGGGAAATAAGACGAGTATTTTATAGTCATAATAAGTCAGTAACTTGTTAGAATGTTGTGATGTAAGTAAAGCGGATGCCCGACGCTCTTCACCGGGTTGACTGTCTATTGGATGACAGTCTAGGGGAGGTGGCTAAACCCTGATTCCAAACCTCCAACGACTGGCGTATGAAGCTCACTGGAGCTCAGCGGCAGACGTATGGAAAAAGGGCTTGTTGGATGTCCTGGATGTCTGGCCCCATTCAAAAAGGTGTATGAACCGAACTCCGGTCACCGGCTGCCAATGGATAGTGGACTCCCTACTCCACTCCTACTGCCTTGTAGGTCACACTTGGTTGTGTAAAGGCTAGAGCTGCACTCTCAAACAAAAGGCCGAGCGATTCTGGGGACATCACTCGTACCAAATTCCCATGAAACTTCATGAACTCCGTGCAACAGGTCGCCGCGCCTGGGCAGCGATGATTCGAGATGTTCATGAAGCCGGCTCATCCTCCCGTAGGAGATAGCCGAAGTAAAGTAAAAGTAAGATGTAAGTAATTTAGAAAAAAGCTCAGCAATTGCACTTCACGCATTAACAAATAACCACACAATAGCGTGGAAGAAGGTTAAAATTCTAAGAAGTAATCTATGTAGGTGGGGAGAGAGAGATTGATTACTTAGTGAATCCTGGTTCAGTGAGTCTACACCCAACACAACACATGCAACAGAAATGACTCAATACAAATACCAGAGATATGCATGGAAGATATTATTGCCATCAGTCAGTCAAATCAGAAGAGGATAATAAATAATCTCGAAATTCTATTTCAATTCAAGCACATCCCAACATTCTAACAAGTTACTCACTTATTTTGACTATAAAAACACTCGTCTTATTTCCCATCTAATTGTATTTGATCAATAACACTCATATTATTATTATTTCTGAATGTACATTATCCCATATTGATTTTCATTCAAATGTCTAATCATCAATTTCACTTATGTATATAAATGAAGCAAGAAAGTTGTGTGAGCAGCTTGATATGATTATGAGTGGCAATAGTTTGTGCTCGAAACGTGGTCATCAGTTAATATTACTGTCCTTATGTACTTTATAGAGTGTGGTATCTTAAAATGCTGTACTACTGAGCAAAGTTTTATGTGGAAACTTAATCAGTCACAGTCCAGAGTTTAGTTAGTTTCGTAGAATCTTTGATTTACTGCAAACCATCATCGATCACATCAGTAACAGTCTGACAACAGTAGGATAAGTTATTTAAAACTCATGCAAGCTTGACTGAGAAGAAAGCGATGGCAATGCATATGAGTCGTGTGTATTGTTATTACTTCGGCAATAATTACTTTAGTAATTCACTATTTTCTCCTCTTGAATGTTCTTTTTGTGAATTCTGTTAGGGTTTTGTTTTTGTTTCTCGGCTTCTTCACACTTGTCGGACGGATACAACCAACCTGCTTGTCATCTAATATCAACTGTTTCTTAGTCAAATTTCAAAGCCTTACTTCCATCATGTCTTTAGTTGTTATGTAATTTCCTTTTATTTGTAAAAATCACTTCTGACTAGTCTTGTCAGTTACGGAAACCCGGGTCACACCCCCCTCTAATAATAATTATTATTATTCCTTCGCGTTCCAAGTGGAACATAGGGCTTCAACAACACATCTCCGCTTTTTTCTGTTTTCTGCTGTCCTCTTCAGCTCGGTGCACAATTGACCAAACTCTCACATAACTTTCTCCTCGCCACACGATCTCTTCCATGTCATCCTCGCACCGACGACCCACTCGTCGCTTCCCACTTGGATTCCACTCGACGGCGATTTCATTCATTGGCCTCCTCAATATATGCTCAAGCCATCCCCACTTTCTCACACATATTTGTTGAGAAATCGGCTCTCACGTGTTGGTTTCTGCCCAGTCAGAGTATCTTCTTGCTAATTATTTCTCGCCATTTGATCTTCAATATGGAGCCAGCCAGCGAAGGTAGCTGTTGATGAAAGTCTGCAACAAGCTGTTGGAAATCCTTTTCGTGACGTGAAGTGCAAGTTTCTGACCCATACAGAAGACCCGATTGAATCAACGTTTATGTTGAAAATCAGAATCTTGTTCTTCTTGCTGACTGAGTGCAGAAGATTTCCGAAATGGTTTCAGACTGATGAAGGCGTATCTTGCCTTTCCGATTCTGCCTGGTTGGCTTTGACATCTTCGTCCGTTCAGCCCACTTGTGGTTGTAACGATGCTTCCCAGATAAGTGAAGGAGACAACGTCTGTTAAATCTCCCCCCCCCCACGCCTCTATTACTCAATAATAGACTACTATGCATTTTTCGATGAAAATAAATACGACTATATAGCCTTTGAAGATCACTTCGTTGATAAAGAAACTTTTCTTCAGCTGGAGGCGATTGAAAATCAAGCAGAGCTGGACAGTTGTTTCGTTCCACTTTCAGTCTCTTCATTGGTGAGCACCCACAACACAACCAGGGACCTCTAGATTACAAGACCAAGATCACTGGCGATTCAGCCACTTGAGCGGGTAGAATTTGCAGACCCGTAAATTCTTACTTTGTCAGTTTGTGATATACGGCAACCCTCAACCAATGGCTTCGATAAGCATTCACTTCACTTTGACATGATGAACCCAACTAGTCACGGCGTTTCAGTACATCTACAGGACATCCATCCAGTAGTCATCAAAAAGCTGTGAACTGATATTTGAACCATGGGTTTTTGTAAGGATTTGAATAAATTTTATCTCCGGTGTGTGTTGCTGGAGAGTCCAAAACAAGGACGAAACAGCTGTCCAGTGCTCTTTGGTTCTCACTGATCTATAACAACAACAGATATTGGTTCATGAAGAAATCCACACAAAAACCTGCAATCTAAAATTTTCTCCATGAAGCAATTTAGTGGGTGACGACCAGCAGTGGAATCTAGGGTGAGTATTTCGTCCTATGTGGGACCTTGTAACCTGAAGGTTCTGGTTTCGAATCATGGCGATGGTTGCATCCTGCAAATGAATCCCAAACTAGGAATACAGAAACAACTGTCAAGTACTCCCAAGTAGTTTCTACTAAATGGTTGTCTAACCGATGTCAGCTCATGACGAAATCCTGTAATAAATCAAATCCCTGCAAACCAACAATTGATTAGGTTAATAATTTCGTTTGAAAGGACGGTTGAGTATCATTCGGTTAGTCCTTAACTCTGACTGCATTCTACCAAATTAACTGTTAATGTAACTAGCAAGTTAAAGTTCAAATCCTCTAGGTGAAGTTTATTTCCTTCAAAGTCCCAAGCACATATTGTTGATGAGTCCAACCTCATTGAAATACCAGCTAGGAATAATGGACAACTACTTCTGCGGTCCTAATTTACGACTTTTACATCAGTATACACCCATAACTCTAATCGCCAGGAGTAGAACTAAGAACCCTGAAGGTTACAAGCCGCGATGACCTTGTTGACCAATCATCTTTACTTTAGCCATTAGGATAGAATCCAATGACCAATGGAGATCTTGACAACAACAACAACAAAAAAAAGAAAAACACCACTAAAAACACAAACCTTTAACAACTCTTCTAAACGATAAATGACAGTAGATTGACACTGTGGTCTATCGGGACCAATAGTATTCATAATTAATTCTGCGTACACCTGTATTTGATCACTGCTCATTAATTCTCTAGAAGATAATGGTGTATTTCTTAGCGTAATGCCTCGAAAGACTGCAGTGAAAATACGTTCCATATGTGGTTCCCAGTCAATACGACCACGACCAATATGTGAAACTTTGCACAATACGTCAATAATTTCCTAATTGTGTATAAAAAGTAAAAACAAACAAATAGAAATTGAACAAAATGAAGTTCAATCGATTCGTTAAGTAAGATCACAGTGGAATTACAGTTCACGAAAGAGGCATAAACTACAAATAATAAAGTCAAATAGAATAGCAAAAAGAATATCAAATAAAAATTAAGGAAATTTCTAGAAAAAAAGTTGAGGATCATTAAAACCTTGATTGAGGGCCAAGGTAAGGACAGTGTATGAACCGACCAACTACTTTTGGATACATAAGTTAGGTTTCTTAATGTGGACCCCAACAGCCAGCCTCAGCAATATGTAGTAGACGAACTCTTAAGGTAAAGTTAAGACTAGTTGGTATGCGCGGCAGATGACTTTGAAAGCTGTCTCGTTGACATCAATCTTGTGTTCTGTATCCACAAGATGAGATACAATAGCGCTATGAATGGAGTACACACTGAGAAGATTTGTAGATCAGCTTAGAAGGATAATTTTGATTTAGTTGTGTTCCCTGAGCAGGTTAGTTTAGTTGCGAAGCTTTCGTTATCCTTCTACAGACATCTTCACTGCTCTGTGATTAAATTAACCAGCTCAGAGAAGAACACAATTAAATCAAACAAGTACACACTGCAGTGAGTAAATGGTGATTTGACTAAATAATCACATAAAAATCCGAGTGTAAGACTGAATGAGCCGCAACAGCAATCAACTTAAAAGTACAACTATAGGGGACTATCACATCGGTGTATCCCTAGTAAGTATGGTTAGAACTCAGATACCCGAGACAGGTTTTTTCACACGTACCAGACTACAAGCTCAAGCTATCACGTGACAGGCTGATGATATACTATGCACTTGTTCAGGCTGAAATAAGGCAAGCGGAATTTGAATCCTGGATCCAGGAGACATTTTCTCAAAGTCAACTAACTGCTCAAGTCAATGAATTTCAGTTTCACAAAAAGCCTAAAGTTCTAACAGTTTAGACTGTACGATAAAATATGACACAAGATAACTCCTACACTGGGAATGGAAAATTATTATTTCCAATTACATTATTTTTTTATTCCTTTACGTTCCCACTGGAATATAGGGCTTCAAGCTAGAGCTTCTTTTGGATACATAAGTTAGGTTTGTTAATGTGGATCCCGACAACCCCAGCGATATATGTAAGAGATGAACTCTTGAGGTGAAATCTAGATTAGTTGGTTGGTATACAGTAGATGACTATGCAAGCCTCGTTGACATCAGTCTTGTGTTCTGTATCCACAAGATGAGTCAGATACAATAGCGCTACGAATAGATTTTGTTTGTCCTTTACTTAACCATGAAAGGTCTCTACTGGTGTAATTCATTTCACAAAATGATCCGGAGGGTCTAACGATAAAGTCCTGGAATAGTCCAATGGAGGTGAATTGGTTCAATTCCTCAAAAAATATCATGAATTACTATAAAGTTACTTTTCTACACCCTGTCGATCAAGGTACAGCTTACCTCTAAAGATCATTTATAAACAGTTAACGTTGATAAATTGAATGCATGCATCATTAATCCCTTGATAAAATATATTTTAATCACAGGATTGACTATAAGTTGACATCAGTTAGAGAACCATTGGAAAACCAGTAAGGAGTGCTAGACAGCTGTTTCTATCTACCTGGTTTGCGACTCTTCAGCTGTATGCACTCGCCGGTCCTCCAACAGATATAAGCTCATTAGCAAACGGCTCTATAGAGGGAGTTACCTGCAGTTCTAGCGAGAAGGCGTAAGCAGCGGGGTCCACCAAATCAGGCAAAAGGACAATTACTCGCCTGTGACTCTGGTTGGCTGGCTGTTGAGCTAATATATCTTATCACGAATTGACAGAAGGCGGAATTCATAGACTGGCCATTGAGTCAGGTTCCAGTGATTTAATGATCTACGAGCTCGCCTCGTAACTGGAAGGTTCTAGGTTCGAACCCCAGTGCGGTGAATACGTACTATAGAAAAGTCCCAAACTAGGACTAGAGAAACAGCTGTTCAGTACTCCACAACTGCTTTTTAATGGTTCTCTAACTGACGTCAGCTTGTGATCAATCCTATAACCGATTAATTGCCTGCAAAACCAACACTCGATATATATTTTTTAATCATTTACAGTTAAACATATTATGTGCCTTAATTTGTGAGTCTTACATTCCAAAATTCGCTTTTAACTACTAAAATTTTTACCTGCCTAGTTGTAAAAATTGATTAATTTCTACAGACTACGCGTTTCTTATACATGAAGGCCATCATCTATCGTCAGTACCTATATAAAAGTTTGACTCCTTCTACACTGTATCGAATAGTGCAACCATTTCCAAATCTCTCTCTATCTCTACATATATATACATATATATTTTTTCAGTTATCAACTAAAATAGTAATGTATAATAAACTATTTATAGAGTTACAGGATTTTCATCATGAGCTGACATTAGTTAGAGAACCATGGGAAAACCTGCGAGGACTGGACAGCTGTTTCAACAGCCTTGTTTGGGACTCTTCAGCAGTACATACCAACCGGGGTTCGAATCCAGGACCTTCTGGTTACAAGGCGAGCTCTTAGACCATTAAGCCACTGGGACCCGATCCAATGGCTCGCCCATGAATTCTAACTTCTGCCAGTTCACGACATAGCGCGACCCCTAGCCAATGTCTTCGGCGAGTATTTGTCCTCACACCTGACCTTCTGCACCCTACTGCTCACGACTAGGCTAGCGGTTGCTCTATGTCATGAATTGGCAGAAGTCAGAATTCATACACTGGCCATTGGATAGGGTCCCAGTGGCTTAATGGTCTACAAGCTCGCTAGCCTTGTAACTAGAATGTCCTGAGTTCGAACCGTCGTGGTGGGTGCATACTCCTGAAGAGTCCCAAACTAGGACTAGAGAGACAGCTGTCCAGTACTCCCAGGTTTTCCAATGGTTCTCTAACCAATGTCAGCTCATGATGAAAATTCTGTAACCAATCAAATCCCTACAAATCAATACTTGAATATTTATAGAGTATTGACACGTGTACATTTTTATTAAATCATTATTATTGATATTACATATGACTGACTATTTAACTAAATACTGTCTATGAATGACGTAAAACGTATACCCATGATTCAATATGCTCAATATGTGAGCAACATGTTATTTATAAAGTATATAAATCACAATTTCTTTTTTTTTAACTGTAAATACTCTTAATGAGTTAATAATATGATAGATTGATATTTCGAAATATCATATAGCTAGCTTAGGTGTGAATACACACAAGGATGTCAATACGCTTAGCAATGAGCTATGAGGCCTGCTGATGATGATGAAGATGCCACTTAGCAGACGAAACTCTAATGGCTCCATTAGTGGAGTCTGGTTGAAAGTTGATTGCCTTATCCAGCAATCCATAGAACTAAGGAACTCTTTGAACTTAGTTGGTAATGGAGTCTAGTAGTGGAACCCAAGACACCCTTCTCACCGCCGGCCCACCTATCCCTTAGCGGATAACTTTTAAAATGCGATGAAATCAGCATTGTAGACACTCCACTGCTAGCCATCATCAACTTAAAATGACATGTGCGTCGGTAGCACAGTGGTTAGGACTCTCGCCGAACATGCAAATGATCCCCTGCCGACGCACATCTGATATCTATGATCGGCCTGTAAAATTTGGGCTACCGATATCATATGCTGAAAATTCCATACTTGTACCAAAAATACTGTGAGGTTTCAAGCTCTAATAAAAAAAACATCAACAACATTCAGGCAGCATCGAAGTGTCTGTCCGTACTAGGAGCTGGCATATTACAACAAAGAATAACAAAGAAATTCACAAGAATGATTAGACGTTATTTCTGTAATTTTCAAACTCTGGTTAACACATTGGGGATTTAATTGGTTACAGGTGTGACTGCGAGTTGACATCAGTTAGAGAATTCCATTGGAAAACCAGCATAGATTACTGAGCGGTTGTTTAATCCTGTCTGGGGACTCTTCGGTTTGAACAATTTGAACCCAGGATCTCTCCCAGGTTACAAGGCGGACTTGTGGACAATTCATTCAGCCACTAAGACTGAACTCAATGTCCACTACACGAATTCCAACTACTACAAATTCGCGATTTCCACATATAGCTTAACCAACAAGCTAAAGTCATCTTCCTGGGTTTGACCCTCGGGTTGTAGGTGGGTACTTCTAAAGAGTCCCAAATTAGGACAACAAAAACAGCTATCCAGTAATCTCACGTTTACTATGTAAAACCTATAAGAGTAATTATTAATTCTAATGTGAATCAGTTAACCATTTTAGTGGATAACATATTTTACTAACATGACCCCACCCCACTTTCAATAAGGTCAACTCCAGTTAATCAATAAATTGTATGTAAACAAAACAGAAAGTACATTCACTTACATACTACTAACAAGTCAAGATTTACAGCTGACATTTATACAATGTAAAAAAATAAAACATACAAAAATAAACAGAATTGAATCTGATTAAGAATGAATCGCTTGAATTCAAAAAAGAAAACTTTGTATAATCAATTAAATGCATACCAGACAAATAAATAAACTCTAGCGGGCTGCTTAAAACTTGAGCTACCAAAAAACTTCCATCTCTCTCACACCTGTGTATTTTAATCGATTAAGATATCACCTCAACTGATGGTATTATCTACTCTTGTGTGTGTGTGTGTGTGTGTGTGTGTGTGTGTGTGTGTAGTTTTAAAATATTTACAAGCTTCTGTTTCGTAAGTACCTTAATACACTTGAGGAATGGCCTGATTGTGAGTATGACAATGTGTTCCAATACAACATGAGATAACTGTTCTTCAGTTATGTATGTCCTTACGTCTCAAAATGTACTTGTGAACACCTTACAAGGTTGGCTTTCTTGGAGACAAAGCAGACATGTCACATAACGGAATGGTTTGTGCTTCAGCTCAGAGAGAGCATTGTGTTACAGGAAGGATATTTATATATATATATGGGATGCTCACTGGCGACTGGTCCCATTCAGGTAGATAGTTACCTAGGGTTCCAGTGGGAAGTCGTGGCCAATAGGGTGCAGTAGGTCGGGTGTGAGGACAAATACTCGCGAAGACATTGGCTAGGGGTCGCGCTATGTCGTGAACCGGCAGAAGTGGGCCATTGGATCGGACCCCAGTGGCTTAATGGTCTAAGAGCTCGCCTTGTAACCAGAAGGTCCTGGATTCGAATCCCGGTTGGTGCGTACTGATGAAGAGCCCCAAACAAGGAAACAGCTGTCCAGTACTCCCAGATTTTCCAGTGGTTCTGTAACCAATGTCAGCTCATAATGAAATCTTGTAACTAATCAATAAAATCCCTACAAACCAATACTTGAATAATATATTTTACTTGAAGGTACTGTACGAAGGGAAAATATCATACAATAAACTCCTCTGAAAATACTGTACATTTTATAAATATTGTCCAGAATAAATATATCATTATTATTAAAGTATATCACCACTACTTTTTTATATTTTTGATTATAGCTTGATTCCACACCGTATTTTCGGTACAAGTATGGAATTTTCAGCATGCGATATCGGTAGCCCGAATTCGCAGGCCAACCATCGATATCAGGTGTGCGTCGGCAGGAGATCGAACTCCGGACCATGTGCATGGTCGACGAGAGTCCTAACCGCTGTGCCACTGACGCACAGGCTATTTGTTTACAGTATTACACACTTATGATTAAGAGAGGATGATAAAGGCTTGAAATATTTCTGCTATCCTGGCCTATATCAACACGACTTTTCTCAACAGTTTATTCCCCCCTCCTAGATGAAGTAATTTTTGGGGTTGCGTCCATATGAACTACCTGACAATCCACGACCAAATGTGCATAATTTGTTTTGTCACTTTATATCTAATGAAGTTGCTATCCATTGCCTTGCCTTATACACTCAATTCCCAAACCGAAGAGTCCTGAGTGTGAATCTCTCTTCACCTTGCTGTGGACTATCAGGAAGTATCTGGGCGGTTATTACCTCCTGGCTGCTTACATCGTGAAAGCTAATTGCTCTTTCAAAATACTCAAAAAACAACGACCATTCGCGTTGCATGACCGCACAGTCCACGGGACAACTGCTTGAGGCGATTCCCACACGACCTGCTGGATTTGGTTTTTCAAGTTGAGTCAGATATTTAAATCTTACTAACAGCTACAGATGGCAGGAGGATATGTCGGAATGCACACTTTTGGGGGGTTAACCTTATCTAATCATCAACTTCCCAGAGTGGAGAGAGAGAGTACGACCGGCTTCCTGGTCGTCTGAGAGGAACACGTGACTAACTTCGCAAGCTTACTCACCGCTAGCAATACAACTTTACCATCTGACCCCCCAACATAGTTTAAACGACCTACTGATGGTAACTCCTTTTAGTCTAACCGCTATCTAGGATACCTTTCCTGTATGTTATGACCTACAGGAACATTCATTCCAGTCAATGTAGCTCGGTAGTTCATTGCGATATGCAAGTTACCGGCTGTCATGTCAAGGTGATGGTTATCAGTCGGGTTTCCTCAGATAGCTGAAAAACTGTTCAATATATGGCTGACAGTAACAGTGACAAACTTAATGTCGTTACCTCTAGTCTTTTTTTGTACTCAATCCCACTTTGGGTGATATTACATATTACGGAATATTTATTGCATCATTATAATGGGCTACATATGTCCAGGCGACTTCACAGTCGATGCAGAAGTTAACAACCCTATCGGTTAACTTGAATTTTGTCCATCTACCACTCTACATCTAATCGCAATTTACATTTTCTCTGTATAACACGGAGCAGAACAATGCAAACAACTACTATAGAAGACGTCAAATCTAAACTAAAGAAGTGGATTTCATCCCCACACCCTTCAAACACAGATACACAAACACGTGCACACCACCAACATCCGCTCGGCCGATAAATGTTTCCTTGAATACTATGGTGACCCAACAAGCTACACTGGCTGGGACTTATGTTCTCGAAGGTCCTACAATGCCACGGAGGTTGTTTGGATAGCGGTTAGAATAAAAGTTGCTATTATGAGATACATGGGCTCGTGGATGGTCCCTTAAGACAACCACCTGTTTCGGTTTGGGCAACCGGGCAGTATTGCACCTCTCACACAATCAATGAAGGGAACATTTTTTATTACTTAAGGTAAACATATCCTGAGTTGAGTGCGAAACGATAATAAACTCATAAAATCTACAGTCTAGATAATGTTTTTTTTGAAGAAAAGATAATTTCAAACAATTCCTCATTTAAGCTTATCCTTGAATTCCACAGAACGTCAATTCATTAATTCTTAAAGATAGACAAGCTTTGAACAGCTATCCACAATTTCATCTCAGTCGAGTTATTTAAATTATTTTAAATATCGCGCTGATTACTTTTACTGAATTAAAAGACTTGGTTAAACAAGAACAAATCGATCACAAGGTATGATAGAAGTGTCTGGTACTAGAGGTAGCAGCTTTTATACCAAAAGAAAGCGGGCATTTCAGTCCAACTGGAATAAAATTAAACAACTAGAAATTAAAGAGCCTTAATAACTGGTAACCGATAGCGGTTACATAAGATGTGCCTGGAGTAGCTAAATAGCCTGGTGGATGGCGTCTTAGTATTTGAAACAATGACTGCTGGATTCGGGTCCTACTGGAAGCACCACCACTAATCACTAGGAGGCAGCTACATACCTCCTGGACTTGACACTGCTAACCACTACCAAGCAACTTTTCCTCCTTCCGCAACCAAAATATTCTTTTCTGCTTTGTATATTTTGAAGTAATTTAATGGGTGATGCCTAGTAGTGGGATCCACGATGCTAGTTTAGTCCTACTTAGGACCCGTCATCTGGATATACCTGCGCCCCCCCCGGTCAGTGATGGTGTCCCCATCGAGACCTGAACCAATTATGCCCTAGACCACTTAGGCCACAAGAGTCGCCCACCTCTTGTGCAAACGGGCATTAGGTATTATGTGTTTTGAAAAGTCAGCTTTTTTTTATTTTCCCCTCCATACTTGGAGCCGCGACATATCAACAAAGGCCGAATATTTCGGTCCAATCAGTCGACGGGAAAATTTTAAAAATTACTTAAAAACAACCAATTTGTCTATTTTAATTTATTATCAGTTAATGTATACTTTTTTCAAAAGTTATAGAGCAGGTGAAGACAAACATTTTGAATAAAATTCAATTTTACCACCCTATTCACTCCTTTTATTAAAACGGGAAAACGCCTTAGATTGATGAGTTTCTTTGTCAAGATTTGATTTGGTTCAAGTTTGCCCATGGATTGACATCACCTAAAGAGAGCCATCGAATACTAGCATGGAGTACTGGATAGCTGTTTCGACACAGTTACAGACTCATCACTGTACGCACCCACTGTTAGTTTTCGAACCCAAGACCTTCTGGTTACAAGGTAAGCTCGTAGACCATTCAGCCAATGGAACCAGACTCATTCACCAACCCATGAATTCTAACTTCTACCAATTCGTGATATATATTTAAGCGAGACTGGCATCAGCCATTGTCATCGCTGGCGGGTATTTATCCTCCCTCCCCACCGGGTTGGTGGAAAGCAGTGGTCACGACTTCTCACTAGAAGTGCAGGCAACTTCGTCCTGTAGCCAGTCACTATCGAGCCCCATGAGTTTGTTTGTAAGGATTTGATTTGTTCGGGACTGATGATGAGCCCCAAACCAGGACAAAACAGTCGTCTAGTACTCCGTTATGCTTTTCAATGGTTCTCTAACTGATATCGATCAATCCATGGTCAAACCTGAAACTTTAACTTCATTTAACCATCAACCATTTAATGATTTTTAAAGCAAACAATTTTGTTGCTGGTAGTGTCTAAATCGCACAAACATATACGCTATTTCAATGTGGATTTCATCATAAACTCGATTGGGTGCTTCGTCCTTCCTTGTTTGGGACTCGCTCTCTCTTCATCATTGCATACCCACCTCATTCCAACCGTGGAATCGAACACAAGACCTTCAGATTATGAGGTCAGCTCTACTGATCATCATTTAGCTACTCCTGGGTTTCAATTCACTGATCGGTTCGTGAATTATCGGCTCAGGTTAATCGATTAGCTAGCACTGATACAACTGGAATGAGAAATTTCACTAAGATAGATGATAAGGTTGCATATACATATATATTGATTTAAACAGTGGAATTCTAAAATGCATAACTTACGTGGTGCGATCTACAAATTGGTTGGGTATACCATATATCAAATATGTCTGGTAACCAGACACGACTAAAAGGAGAGGGAGAGAGAGAGACAAAGAGAGAAAAGGTGACAGAAGAAAATGCGTATTTTTTTGGGGTGACAGGAGAAAAAACTACGGTACTTTGACTACAACACCGTTTTTAAAAAAAGGTTTTTGAATACGTGTAATTATGCTTTATCTCTTTAGAAATACAATCTAATAATAAAATGAATTACTTATACTTAATAATTTTTTTTAACAATTTCTTCACGTTCCCAGTGGAACATAGAGCACCTTCAAGCTAGAGGCTTGAAGTTTCGGTAGCAGTGGTGTTTTATTTTTACAGGATGGGGTTGTTAGCCTTAAGCCGAACCTCCCCTCTTTACCACACCTATTTCTGTTTTGGCCGGGGACCGAACCCCGAACCACCTGTGTGGTCGGCGAGCATTATACCACTGTGCCACCGACGCACTATACTTAATAACTAGACAGGTATTAAATATGCTGACAGACTCAGAAACAATTATAGACACTTTCTAGCAAGTTATGTTATATAGGTATACAATATAGCATGTGTATAATAAGAAAATCTGGCAGGCGGACCTATTGCCCGACAGAAATGTACACTCAGGTCGAGAGATGGATTAGACATATGCTGATGAAACAAATTTCCGGGATCTTAAGTAGAGTCTGAATAAGAAGTGATAAGTAGGGTGATGTACACCAGTGACAGATATGGAAAAGATCATGAGGTCGTGTTGTGGTAGTGCGATACAGACAATGGGGTTCCAACGGAATATTATTCTCACAGTAAGAATCATTGTATTTGTTGGCGTTAACAGGAGAATACTATTCCCACAGTACAATAGTGCATTAGCAACAGAATACCAGATATGTGTATTTGAACATTCTATTTCATGTTGTTTAATGCAAACCAAAATTACACGCTAAGTGATTGATTAAAGAATATAAACAGTACAGATATAAATAGAGCTTTGATCAGTGGAAAATATACCTTTGTTTCCGTGTCTTGCCTTCTGTTGTTACAATGTGAGGCAGAGATAAAAGTTTCAAGGTGATCGTAAAGTCATTATGCTGAAAATTTATTCCATATTAGTTTGTCTATTAGATGTATCACACAGTGTAACAGTATTATTTACTGGATATGACTTTAGATTGTTGATTTCATCGTTCTGAGATGAAGATTTCTCCTCTAATAATTTATTGAACTTTTTGATTTGAGCATTTTTCGACTTTTTGAAAGTTGCTGATTTGGCATTGCTAGAGGACTGACTGTGTTATAAGATCATAATACACATTGGTAACTATTCCCAGTAGCTTTTGCTTTAATTGCTCAATTTCAGATCTGATATGTTGCAAATTTTTTAACAATTCTATGGATCTCTTCTTTCAGGCATAATTTTTGTAGACTTTCTATTCTGCTCCTAACTATGTCCGTCGGAACTGGAGCTCGTAGACGTAGATATTTAGGAATGATTTCATTTTTCAAGCATCGAATGTTGAAAATACGATGATTTTCATATCTTGCTTCAGTTTGCGAAAGTCGAGTGAGTTCATCTCACAACGATGAAATCAAAAATCTGAATCCAGTAAATAATGATGTTTCACTGTGCGATGCATCTAATAAACAAACTAATATAGAATTGCTAACTACCACAATGCTCAAGTTTTACACATATATTTTCTTTTCCTTCACGTTGCCCAGTGGAACATGGGGCTTCAAGCTAGTGGCTTGAATTTTCTGTAGCTGTGTTTATTTTTACAAGATGGGGTTGCTAGTCTCACGTCCAACCTTTCCTCTTCACCAGCATTATTTCTGGCTTAGCGAGGTAAAGGAGTCCGTCGGCCGGGGATCGAACCCCGGACCATGTGCATGGTCGCCGAGCGTCCTAACTGCTATGCCACCAACGCACTACATATACATGAATTCTGAGAATTTATTGTTCAAGGATAATAAGCTATGATACTGGATTGTAAATTAAAACGAACGGAAGAAGGTAAACTGTACACTGGCGTTTATAAAAAAACTAACGCATTCTTATGGATAATTAGCCCTTAATTCATCTCATCCGTCGTTATCTGTAAAGGCGGAGTCAGTTAAGTGTCTAACAAACCGAGCAATAACAGCACTATGTAGTACACCGAAAAACCTCAAAGGATAAAATCAAACAGATACGAGAAGAAGCGTTGGTGTTAAATAACTAACTATCCTATAAAGTTCATTAGGAATATCAAAAAAGGTCAAAAGCAAAATAAAAATAATGGGGAAGCTAATAATGATAACACAAATAAGGAGGAATATAAGGCATCTATGTGCAGTCTCACTCTAGAAGGGGGGTGGGGAAGACATCTGAAACCCTACGTAGGATTTATGCAAGAATTATGGAGGCATTTAAACTTAAAAACTCATTCAGGAACAAGTTATGTAGGTTGAAGTGTGGCGAGTGCTACTGATAAGATTTATCAGTAGTATGAAAAGAGACGTTCATCGCCGGCATAAAAACATTAAATAGAAAGGTGGCAGATTGGATATCAGAAAGAGAGAAATGATCCAGCGTTGGGGAGATACATGGGAGACGTGAAAAAAGCCAAAGAAACACAATATAAAGGAAGGCCAGAAGTGGCACAACACGAAGATCTGTGTAAATGGTACGTCGAAGATACGGTGTACGTGATTTTGCTAAAGAGATACCGAATCCCTCTACCAAGTCTTTCGTCTTCTACCGTTACAGAAGTACCCTGTTGACCCAATAATATAATTTACAAAATACACCACAATGACTGTGAGTTAAGTCAACCATATAGGTGAAACCAGTAGATCGAGTCAGCAGTCAGATAACCTACGAAACAGCAACAACAACCAGCACCAAATCACCATCAACGGGAGAGTTTTGAAAGAGGTTACTTCCTTCACTTATCTGGCCAAGAAGCATGGGTTCAACCACAAGCAGAAGGAACGGATGATGTCAAAGCCAGGCAGAATCGGGAAAGCAAGATACGCCTTCATCAATCTGAAACCAGTTTGGAAATCTTCTACACTCTGTCAGCAAGGAGAACAAGATTCGGATTTTCGACACAAATGTTGAGTCAGTCGGGTCTTCCATACGGGTCAGAAACTTGCAATGCGCACACATCCAGGAAATTATTTCCAACAAGCTACGGACTTTTATCAACAACTGCCACCTCCACTGGCTCCATATTGATGGTTAAATGGCCAGCCAAAAAGAATCAACAACAAGAAACTCTGGCTGGTAACAACAAACCAACCAAGAACCGATTGCTCAACAAATATTTAGGAGAAAATGGAGATGGATTGATTGGGCATACGTTGAGCACGCCGTCGAATGACATCGCGCGCGCAATACATGCCATCACTCAAGTGGAATCCGAATGGGGTCGTCCGAGGAGGAAATGAGAGATTATGGCAATCGTCGATCCAGCTGAAGAAGACAGTAGGAGATAGAAGAAAGTGGAGATGTGTTGTGGAAGCCAGCACTATGTTCCACTCAGAACCCAAGGGAATAACAATAAAATAATAATAATATATATAATGAAGACCATGAGAGTAATTACTTACCTAATTTCATCAAAATATTTCGGATAAAATGGTGTATAGATCAACAATTTAGGCAATAATGTACAAGGCGATCCAGTAATCAGATCACTACAAATACTATGACGAAATTTGAACCAAATTTCTTCAATCGACTTCTTTGGAAAGAACCTATTAAAATTACAAGAAAGAGGAAACAGAAAAAGAAGAAGAAAAAGAATGAGAATCGAAATCAGATAATCACAGATCACAGATGATTAACACAGATAACACATGCCCAAACATGTATGTGCATGTACAAAAAGAGGTACCCCCCACCACCACCTAAAGTGAAATATATTCTCAATATTTCATTTATAAATGCCTTGACATAAAACAAAACTTACATGTTTGTTATGGAGGGGGCGTAACTGTAGACTACGGCAACTTACACGTAAGACTCAAGTAAACGGACATAATGAGAACACGGTCAACCACCACCAATCAGAAAAGCCCGTAGCAGAAAGGCGGAATTATGGATACCGTACGCGAATTACATTGCAGATTACATCTAGATCTAGTATTTTCAATACTGTCTGGATAATAAGCTCATTGGAAGCTTATAAATGTAGAGGAGTAACGCTGTGGATGGATATGTGTACAGAAGTCCAGCCTTGATGTCACAGAAAATCTGTTCGAAAAGATACGTCGTCCCTTTTTAGGTTCGAAGGTGTTGTAAAGCAGTGAATAGGTTACGAAATAGCGCGATACCTGGATGAATTTATGCCCAGAAATACGTTTGAACTATCACTGAAGACTCTGCAGTAAGGAATTTAGGAGGTTTCCTTGGGAGACACATACGAGAAAGTTACACGCATAACAATTTTATTCTAACATTAATTATCATGTCTATAAAAGAGATTTTTAGATTACGCGTATCTACTACGGGCTCATTTGATTGGTTGATCAAGGTCATTGTGTCAGTTTACTTGTGTCAGTGAGGTATTCCATTGATTTGAATTGAAATGATTAAGACACGTATTATGAATGCTGAACTATCAACCTCCTTGGACGATTAATATTGGCACATTCGAGTAGGTAAAGGGTTTGGCGTGATCAGTCAAACACATGGATGGCATCAGTCTATGGTGTCTTTGTCTGTTGGTTTGAGACAGCCCCACATAGAGCAGGGCAGTATAGACTGCCTAGCTGGAGGTCTGCGATTGCTTAGGGACCAATAACTGCAAACGATATGATTATATGATTAAAAATCGTTCTCAGTGGCACAGATCAGCCTTGACTCTGTATATTATTTTGAAGGAGTTGGCGCCTGTTGAGATGGAATGACCAGATTTGACAAGGTGTTCGATTATTGCACTCCTTATACTGCCACTATTACCTTTTTGTAACCATGCGAGATTGTGCTCTTGAACACTTCAAGACAGGATATGTGTCGAACGACCAATGTACCTGGCTGGCTGCACAGCAACAGGTGTACTGATATAGAAGTGGCCAGATGCGAGATCTTGCCTTTAAGGCTTCTGCAAACCAATGGACGATTGGAGAACACTACTCTTAGCGTTGCTGCGACGAGTGTTCTTCTCAAAGATGCCGGGAATTCTTCTCTTAAAGATATCACAGACTAAGTCTCCCTTGAAATCCAGGTTCATATAAAGTTTCTTTTTTAGAACATGTAATGTTTCATTTCTCTGGAATTTCGGTCCGATATTTTTGTCGATGAATCTTGGTGGGTGTCCATTATTCATCTTATTACGTAACTACACTACACTTTGACAACTCATCACCACTACCCTCATACTAATCTTCCCCTCCACCCATAGTCACAATTTGATTATTCATCACATTTTTGAAATATTTTGATAACGTAAACAACAACCCCGACCAATTTTTTTTATTCTTGCCAGACAAACTTAATATACACACACACACAAATACAAAAATAATTATATATAATTACGATTGTACAGCAAAGTGAATGAATCATTCGCCGAAAACCGACTCTTCGCTGTACTACGTGTTTGGTTTTCATTAATGCCTGAATGGGGATTATTCATGAAATACATAATGAGCTGACATCAGTTAGAGGACCATTGGAAAACCTGCAGGGAGTACTGGAAAATTATTTTGTCCTAGCTCGGGACTCTTCATCAACACGCACCTACCTCACTGGGGTTCGAACTCAGGACCTTCCGGATACAAGGCGAGCTCGTAGACCATTGAGCCACTCGGACCTGATCCAATGGCCCATGAATTATAACTTCTGCCAATTCACGACATAGCGTGATCATTTCGCAATGTCTTCTTCAATGAGTTACTGCCTCACCTTCAACCTGCTGTACCCTACTGGTCACGGCGTCTCACTAGAACCCCAGGTGACTACCTGAATAGGGCCAGTCACTAGTGAACATCAGATTAATTCTCAATTATTGGTTTTGTCGGTATTTTGTTCGATTGGACGAAGAGTCCCAAACTAGGACGGAGGAAACAGCTGTCCAGTACTCCCTACAGGTTTTCCAATGGTTCTCTAACTGATATCAGCTCATGATGAAATCCTCCAACCAATCAAAGAAAAAAATCCTTATAAAAACCAATACTTGAAAATACATAATGCTGAATAAGTAGCTTGATTGACTGATTATTAGTGTACTTGAGTTTCACAATATTTCCTTTAATTCCCGTACACCAATGTGAACTGAATACTCGCTAAACACATAGTGATGATGATATAGTTTTATTATCACAGTGTTCACTGGACACTGGAAGTAAAACTAGTATGCAATAATTTAACTAACTACAGATGGATCGATTTCCAAAGAGTAGAAATGATTTTACAAAATATAACTCAATAGTCAACAGTAGAGAAAATCATTAAAACGTTGATTGGTATAACCCTGTTAATCCTCTTCATTGATATTCTCACATTATTCAATAATTCAAAGGGAGTGAAATAAGGACATCTTGGCATAGACGAGGCACTAGCCATCCAAAAGCTCAAACCCACGCTATGTATCCAAAAAGAAATACGTCCAACCCTTGTCCCTGCCATGGCCATCATAAACAGGTAATTCTTTTAGTAGTGACCATCCCATTGCCTTTCTTATCCAAACTTCCTGCGTACTCATGTTATTTTGAAGTTTTTCTTAACCCCTCCACTATTTACACTACCATATTTTCATATCCGAACTTCCTGCTTATTTTGTCATTTTATTATTTCTACATATTTAATCCCTGATTGCATAAACAATTATTCGCCACATTAGTTATGATCCCACTAGATTTTTTATCCAATCATCCTGTCTATTTTTGTTATTTCTACATTTCTAACCCCTAATTGCACAATCAATGTCAATCTTCTCAATAATTATGATGCTACTTTCTTTGAGCTTTATCCCCCTCCTCGTGTTTATTATGGCATTTTAATTCCTAATTGTAATTTTATTAATATGACCCTTGACTGGAAATTATTCTGGAACTTTCCTACCCATTTATTATCAATACACGAATATTCAATAATGCTTAATGGTCTAAGAGCTTGCCTTGCAACCTGAAGGTCCTGGGTTCAAGTCCCAATGGGGTGGGTGCGTACTGATGAAGAGTCCCAAACTAAGGTGAAGCGATATTCCAGTACTCCCTGCTCGTTTTCCAATAGTTCTCTAACCAATTTCAATTCATGATGAAATCCCATAGCCAGTCAAATCCCTGCAAACCAACACTTGAATGTTTACTAATCTTTTCTTAAACTGAAGTTCTGTTTGGCGAACGTTCAAATATCATACAGGACACCATCATCAGTGCTTGAAGTTAATCACGATCGATTATTTAGTGAGTATGGAAATGTATGTATGAAATGGGATTCATTATCGATTTTATATATTCGATTTCCTCAAAGCAATACATGGTCTAGTTGTTCAGACATTGAGTTTAAGACTTTATGATGTCGTTAGGAGTTAAGTGTTTACGCCGCTGAAGTGAATGAGACTGTACAGTCTTCCTTTCTTCTTTGATTTCAAGGTAGAATATATCGAGCTTCAACCTTTGAAGTGACAGAAGCAGTATTGTTGTTCATTTTACAGGTTTGGGTTGGTAGCCGCCTGCCTAATGCACAAACTGTTTAAGATAGTTAATACACTTGCTAGGTTGCACTAAGGAAATATCTACCTAGTCAATTTGTGCTCCTGTTGTTCTAACGGTGGTCTGATTAAATCATTGGACTACCACCACCATCCATCAAAATGCCTAAACTCTCCTGTATTTGGTTACAGGATTTTATCATCAGCTGACATTGGTTAGAGAACCACTTGAAAACCTGGGAGTACTGGACAGCTGTTTCGTCCTAGTTTGGGACTCTTCAACAGTACGCACCCACCGGAGTTCGGGCCCAGGACCTTCTGGTTACAAGGCGAGCTCGTAGACGATTAAGCACCACTGCGACCTGATCCAATGGCCTGCCTATGAATTCTAACTTCTGCCAATTCACGATATAGCGCAACCGCTAGCCAATGTCTTTGGCGAGTATTTGTCCTCACACCCGACCTGCCGCACCCTGTATTTCTTATTGTTTTAATCATGAAACTGTATGTTCTATGACCACTATACATGAACTCGCGCACATATTTAGCTGACTTTCAACAAAATGTTGTGTGACTATTGAGGGAAATGAAGAAAAAAGTTTCAGAAATGGTTCTTTCTTCATATGCAACTACAGTGTTTCACATGATATGCTTAATATTATTATTTTACATGTATATCCTGTACGAAGGCAAAATATTCTTGTACTGTATTTACATATTGTCTCAAATAAAGCTTCATTATTATTAGTAGTAATCAGTATTAGCAACAACAAAGACACCATACGATACCACCGAAGCTGCTATGCAAGAAGACAGAGTGTTGCAGTAGAGAGCTTTAAGTGTATCGAATCAACCGCGACAAGGATTGACAGCGTTGTAATGGCTTTGAGAGACACTAATTACTTTGATAAGGTGGCAACCAATAGGTTTCCAAGGTCAAGAATAGGGAAGGGGGAATACAAACAGCAGTTGGCACTGTCCACTTTATGGCTGTGAGATATGGCCACTGAAAGTGGAAGAAATGAAAAGGCCGGCTAGCTGCTTTTCGTTGTAGGTGTCTGCATTCTGTCTGCCATGTTAAGTGGTATAATAAGGTGAGCAATATTGAGATTAGGCTTCGGTCGAGTGCTAGGTAAGGAAAGGAAGTCAATCGATGAGGTTGTGAAGCAGCTGTATCGATTGAGATCGTTAGGACATGTGTAACGCATGCATCACTAGCCATCGCTTTGCTAGACAATGGACAGTTTTAGCTGACATAGGAATGATCATGTTGGAAATGAGCTAGTGGTAGTCAAATCAAAACATGACTTCATCAGTCAATCAAATCCATAACGCTTAGTTCAAGCCAGCCAACCACGTAGGGAGGTGTAGACTGGCGGCTGGCTGACTGGTTGGGGTCATCGAGATGGCAACAACTAACGAAGGCTGTAGACAACTGGCGATGATATGGCTCAGAATCATAGTTCCCAATGACTGGCTCAGATACATTCACCGTTTGTGATTTATAATATCCAATACGACTCTATTCTTCCTCCATATTGCTATTCTTTTTCCCTCACTCACACTTCTCTTTATTATCTCTCTTTTGTTAAAAATCTCACTTTACTCTGTTGTCTTGCTTTATGTAGTACATGTAGTGGAGAGTGGTAACTCGAACTTACTTACTTACTTTACTTCAGGTATCTCCTACGGGAGAATGAGCCAGCTTCATGAATATCTCGATTCATCGCTGCCACCGGGTGAGCACAGGGCGCGTCGCTTACCGGGAACGCCGTAGCATGGTGAGAGTCGTTTGTAAGAGAGTTCATGAAGTTTCATGGGAATTTGGTACGAGTGATGTCCCCAGAACCACTCGGCCTTTTGTTTGAGAGTGCAGCTCTAGCCTTTACACAACCAAGTGTGACCTACAAGGTAGTAGGAGTGGAGTAGGGAGTCCACTATCCATTGGCAGCCGGTGACCGGAGTTCGGTTCATACGCCTTTTTGAATGGGGCCAGATATCCAGGACATCCAACAAGCCCTTTGTCCATACGTCTGCCCGTGAGCTCCAGTGAGCTTCATACGCCAGTCGTTGGAGGTTTGGAATCAGGGTTTAGCCATCTCCCCTAGACTGTCATCCAATGGACAGTCAACCCGGTGAAGAGCGCCGGGCATCCGCTTTCGCCCTCTCACTTTGGTGAAAAACACCTCCGCCACGTGAAGGCAGTGAGTAGGACTTCCTCAGGAGAGGCTATGTAAGACGCCCGGTCATATGGGAGCATTTCAAGAGGTGTGCGGAGGGGTGGCCAACCCGCAGCGCAAGGCACCCACCCCCGACCATCCTGAGGCTTTGGAACTCGAACTGCTGCACTTCTGTGGAAATTTCTATGCTGAAATCAGTTAGTCAGACAAACAGCACTGTACTGTGAATATAAAATGTAGTATTTTAGAAAAATTAGGTCTATATACCACCAAGCTTCTTTCCTCTTTGCCAGGCTTACTATCCAAACCCATTCATGGCGGCTGCCAAGCCACCGAGGCAAGCACAGTGAATTACAACATTCATTCATTCATTCATTAGAATTAAAAGATAATCAATAAAAAACATTGAATAGCGCGCTTACTTCGAACATAAAGCGATACACTGATATAGTTTTTCAATTCTTGACCTGTAATAAACACGGGAAGAAAGAAAAAATACATTACAATTATAAAAGAAAACTAAATTAAATAAACAAACATAGAACAAATGGATCACTTAAACAATGATAACACAAAAAATAAAAAGACGAATGAATAGATCAATTGATTACTGGATTTATTGGAATTCCATTGACTAATGATAGATATAACATCACATGTCCAATCCAATCGCTGAATAAAATAACCCCTGCTCATTGCATAACCTGTAGGTCTTGATTTCGACCCCGAGTATTTTCATATGATCTCACTTGTAAAGAATTTCAAACTAGGCCTAGAAAGAGTCTTGAATCCGTCAATTCTCACAGTGTCCAAGTCGGGGGGTTTTTTCCGTGTTGAGTTGAATTAAACAGTAGGCTGCATTCCTAACGGTGCCTTTCTGTCAATTCTTTGAAGTTTCGGCTTACCGCCTTCCTTGGAGCCTAAAGACTCAAAGGTCTCTCGAGAACAACCTGCAAGGTTATAGATCGTCAAATGGCAAATACTTTTGCTATAGTTTCTCTAGTAATGATCCCAGAATTTCACATCTTCCCACCCTCCCCCCAAAAGCCATGCAAGAATTTTTAGGCACAAAGGCCTATCCTGAATGTTCAGATTTGTTCATAGTTAAGATGTGTCACCTGTTTCCCGATACCCGGTTAAAGGCAGCCGGAAACATGCCAACGGATTGCGAGCAAAACAAGCTCATTCACCTCCCTCAGCTTCAGTTTACATAAATACGACTGAAACACTGCAAAGTCACTACCCCGAGCCAAATACGAGTTATCATAGCAACCTAAACCTCCAACAAGCAACGCCACGCGCCCACTCAACCCAGGTCTAACTATAAACCTGTTAATTGCAGCAAATTTAATATACGCTTTTGGAGCTGGAGTTATCACGGCATGAAGCATCGTTTCAACTAGAGGCAAAAATACAGATGAAGATATCAAAATCAGAAGCAGAATCAGAAAGGCAAGTTAAACCTTCATCAGTTTGAAATTAATTTTGAAATCTTCTGCACTCCACAGTATAAACAATAAGATTCGGATTTTCAATACAAATGTGAAGTCAGTGAGTCAGTTCTTCTATGTGGTTCACCGGGCTAGAGTTATTTGTTCAAATGAAGTACTGGTGAACGAAGAACTCGGGAATATTTGTGATCTACTACGTAGAAATGGATATCTGACTAAATTCGTGAACAAACACATGAACTCAGAAAGTAAAACGTCGAAGGTGCCGACTATTCCCAAAATATCAGTCTTCCTAAGGTTACAATTCACGGATGATGTTAGCAGTGAGATCTTATCACAACGTCTGAGAAGGGCCTTCAAAACGAAATTCAACGCAGGAAGGCTATGCTGTGTATTTACTAACCAACCAATACTTAGTTCAAGAAATAAAGACAAACTGCCTTGTTTCGTGTTTTTAATGTGTATTTACCCGTTTAACTGCGCGTGCAGAGCTATTTACATCGGGCATATAATCAGGCAAGTTCATTGTCGAATTTCTGAACACCTCCGATCTTGGTTTAGCAAAGGTTCGAATAAAACTATACGCAGCTCAATACTACCTAGTCCTGTCATCTATACTGGACATGAAGTTAACTCTAACAAAACGCTTAAACTTATTTATTATCGTATTTCACCCAACTTCTCACGTGGTCTACGAGTACGACTTTTACATACAGCAGAGGCAGTCCAAATTCATCTGAACACGCCAAATCTGTGTATTCAAAAATGATTTGTACAGCACTTTTCTTTGCCATAGCCAACTACTTAATATGTATTAAGTTTTGAAAAACGATTTTTCCCTTGCCCTTGCAACTATCTTTTGACTTTGTTAACTTTCACAATTCTAGCTAATTCTATTAACTTGTTTGTATTTTACGTAATTCGACTGAGTCATCGTCATTTTACAAATTTCTTGATTAAGTAACAACTTGTCGCTAACCCCTACGAATTAACTGACCTAGAATTCCGTAATTAATTAATTAATTAATTTTTACTCCACCTTTAAAACTTAGATATCTTTTTACTAACATCTATTAGTTATTTGTTTTGATGACCTTTAATCTGTAAATTTCACCCGTCCCCACCTCCTATACCTTAAAATGATTAACTCAAATAACCACTTGACAAGTAAAAACAAATTTTGATGCAAAAAGCGACTATATATTAGTGTAGAGCTAGCCAGCCGATAATGAGGAACTGCTAATTGAAGTGAAGGAGTGCATATTTCTTCGCTCAATCAGTTGTTGTTTTTTCTAAACGCGTAAATGGGATTTTTGAAATTACTGAAATCTTCTCTATGTGTCAAAGACTTCCACTGCGCACACGTCAAGGAAAGCATTTCCAACAGGTCACTGAAGACTTTTATCAACAGCTGCCACCTCCACTGGCTCCATATTCAAGATCAAATGACCGGACAGAAAGAACTAGCAACAAGAAACTCTGGCTGGGAACAAATCAACCAAGAATCTATAGTTCAACAAATATGTAGACGTAAATGGAGATGGATTGGGCACACACTGCTGAGGAGGCCGTCGAATGACGTCGTGCACACTGCAGACCATCACTCGAGTGGTAGCCGAATGGGAAACGACGAGTTGGGTGTGTGTCAGAGGGTGACATTAAGGAGATCGTGTGAGGAGGAGATTAGACATTATGGGCAATCGTTGGACCAGCTGAAGAGGACGGTAGGGGATAGGACAAAATAGAGACGTACTGTTGAAATCATATGCTCCACCTGTAACCCAAGGGAACGATAATAATATGAGCAATAAACTGTGCTCGAAAAGTCATCGGTAAACACTATATAACACTGTGAGACTTTATCAAAACAAAATTTGCCCATAATGGAATTACACTCTACCACAGTGCACAAGTTTTATTCTTATATCAATATAATAAGTACCTATCTAATTATGACTAAAATCTACAGAATACCTTGTAATAGCTGTGAAGTCAACTACAAAGGTCAGGTTAGTCAATCAGATATACTGAGATTATTGGTACAGAAGAATTTAGCTAAGCATAGAATAATCGACCCTAAAGAAGATGAGTAATTTAGGAAAAAAGCTGAACAATCTTGAAGTGCATTCATTAACACACAATCATACAATGGGGTAGGACAAAGATATAGTTCTAAAAAGTCATATAAGTAGGTGGGGGGAGGGTGAGGAAAGGTTAGTCACCGAGTCCTTGGTTATTCATCAAATCTGCATACCTAACACTTGCAATAGGAATGATGCAATACCAATACCAACGATTGCACACTAGGTAGCAACTAATGTCATACGACCGACTAGCCCTTCTTCGTTTATTCTATTTATTTAAACAAAAAAAACTTCGTAAAATATGGCACCAAGAAGATGCTCCACACATTTCATTTCGTTGATTGTATGAGGGCTGATATAATGCCCAGGCGCAAATACCAAAGTAGGTGGTTGTCTCAAGGGACCATTCCCTCCATAAGGCAGCGGAGCAGCGTCAGGAGCTACGTTCCCATGGTTACCGGTGACCAATACAGGTTCATACGCCATTTGATCCGATTGGATTCCGAAGCCCCTGTACCCTATATTAGCTGCTTTTCAGTCTAACCGCTATCCAAACAACCTTCCTGACATGGTAGGGCCTTCAGGGACGTAAGTTTAGCTTGCTGGGTGACTACGGTGTTTAAGCCAGACCACCAAGACAAGGTAGTAGTTGCCGGCTGAGCTTCGTTTGACGCAGACTCAATCCTATCATCAGTCAGGTTTGCAATGTGGCCAGCCACCATTCTGAATGGTTCACTATCACCGTGAATTTGGGTAACTGTTATTAGATGGATGAAGGGAAATTGGGGGCAGAAAGTCTTGTTTGATCTAGGTTTCGTGATGGCGAGTCACCTAGCATGTTGCGCAGCACATCGTAAAAACTGACTGATAAAGGAATTCAGTATGCAATAAACCAAGGACTAGACGCATGACAATAGTTACTTGCTGCCTTGTGTCCAATCAAATTCACCTACTTACAGGTTTGATAGGATAACGCAAAGGTTGCAGGATTGTATCGATGTCCAAAGGCAATAAGCTTGAAATTCAGTAATCAGTTGGATGTGAACGTCGCTTTTAGGCAAATTTTTTTTACCGTCCTCATAATTTTAGACTATGTACTGCAGGCGGAACTGACAAGGATATCAGAGCGATAATCGGGAAAGAAAGACAAGCTTTCATTTCTCTCAAGTCTGTAAGAAGGTCAGCATCACTCAGCATGAAAAATAAGAACTGGATTTTCAACTCCAATGTGAAGTCATTGCTACCTACTATACGGGTCAGAGACTTGGCACTGCGTCATGAAGGGCACTTCTGACAAACTACAGACCTTCATCAACAGCTGTCTTCGCTCAGTACTTCACTCAAGATCAGATGACCAGCCAGAAAAAATCAGCGACAGGGATATCTGGCAATGAACGAACCAACCCAGCAGGATCCGACTGTGCAACAAATATGCAGGAAGAAATGGAGTTAGGTGGATTGGCCATACTGAGAAAACAAACCATCAAGTGAGTGATATCACACACCAGGTCATCACTCAAGTGGAAGCCGAATGGGAAGCGGTGAATCAGTTGGTCCTCAGTGTGAGGGTGACATGGAGGTGGTCATGTGAAGAGGAGATGAAAGCATGTGGGCAGACGTGGAGCCAAGTAAAAAGACTGGCAGAGAACCGAACGTAATGGAGACGTGCGGCTGAAGCCCTATGTTCCTCTAGGAACTAAAGGAAACAATAATGATAATAATACTGGATGTATTATAAAACAAAGAAAATCTTCAAATTCATAGATTTCTTGCAAACTACCTATCTGCTACTGCTTACTACTACTTGTTCCTATTATTCCTTGCATTCCCAATAGGATATAAGCCTTTGAAGTTTCAGTAGCAGTGAGAATGTGTACTCGTTACGAGGTGAGATTCTCTAGCCGCACATTCAATCTCCCCTCTCTCTCTCTCTCTTTCAGAGGTTACTATCTATCACCGGTTGGTAACCTATGTAAGGATTGAGTGTGTCGGTCGGGAGTGGATCCCAGACCCCATGAGTAGCTGCTGGTGAGCATCCAGCACCATTGAGCTACTGATGTACGTGTGTATATCTGTGTTGAACAGGTTCTCTTTCTTCATCCCTTTGCGTTCCTAGAGAAACATAAGTTTTCAGCATTTCAGCTTTGAAGTTTCGGTAGTAGGTGTGGGAGGAGGTTGTAGTCTTCCCTTTTTACCAGGCTTATTAACGACTAAGTGACTTTTTGGGAATAAGTCAGACAGGGAATTGAACCCACGTCACGTGTGTGTGCGTGTGTGTGGTCGGCAAGCATTCTCTATCATTCAACCATCGACGTACAAATAACAGTAATGAAAAAATACTCGCCAGTGATGACACTGGCTATATCGTGAGTAAATTGGCAGAAGTTGGAATTCATGGACTCAGGCGCCAGTGGATTGGCGGTTCCCAATGGCTTAATGGTCTACCGTTTCGCTTTGTAACCTCAGTGTCCTGTGTTCGAACCCCAATGGGGTGGGTGCATAGTGCTAAGGCGTACCAAAACTAGAACTAGAGAAACACCTGTCCAGTACTCCCCCATGTGGCTGGTTCTTCAATGATTCTCTAACCTATATCAGCTCATAATGAAATCCTGTAACCAATCGAATCGAATCACCTGCGCCAAAACAACACTAGATCATAGTACAATTAACTTACTTAGGCCATTTGACAACTTGATATAATGTTTCCATCTTTACTTCAGCCCATGTACAAATGTCATAAAACATTTTCCAGTCAATAGACATGGCAGATGATGGTAATGAGTATGGTTTGCTGAAAAAGAAAGAAAGAAAGATATTACATAATAATCATACACCAAAGAAAGGACTAGACACGTCACACTAGTTACGAGTGTCCAATCAAAATACCCACTACAGCCCTACAGGAGGTCAATCGCCAGTGAGCCCGAATAGCTCAGTGGTAACGTCTCTGACTGCAACACTGGCTGGTGACACGGGTTCGAGTCTCAGAAGGGAAATGAGTTCCTTCAAGGTTTTTGCAGATACGCTTTGCTGACGAGTGCCAACTAGCACGAAACCTAGGCCCAGGCAATGCTCCCTGCCGATTGCCTCCAACCATCTAATATCATCAAATCAATGTGCACCGTGATGGCGAGCTCCCTAGCATAGTGGCCACATTACGAACCTGACTGATAAAATTCAATCTGCACCAAAGAGAGGACTAGACGCGTCACACTAGTTACTAGTATCCGATCAAAATACAAATAAGTATCGTATTTTGATGTGGTTGTGTTCTCTGAGCTGGATAGTTAATTTGTGAAGCTTTCATCACCCTGGAGATGTCACCTAGTAGGGTGATGAAAGCTTCACAAATTAACTATCCAGCTCAGAGAACGCAACCACATCAAAATCATCCACCTGAGCTACAAATCTTCTCCATCATATCTAAATATCGTACTATAATGCCTCAGTAATGATGATTGTAAAGTTAGTAACTTCAATGAAAGTACAATAACTAAACTATTGAATCGATAACCTTATGAATTTATATGTGAAATTGTGGTTTACTGGCTTTGCCAGACATTCAACTCAAAAACTAGTTGGTCATATTGTCGTTCCGCTAACCCAAAATCTAACAACTTTGAGATTATTGAAAATTATACAACCAGTTAAGAGGAGTGCAATAACCATATTTCCTTGTTTACTTTGTACATATATATATATATTCAAAGAACTACTCCGAAATTATGTGCGTCGGTGGCACAACGGTAGAATGCTCGCCAACCACGCCTCATGTGGTCCGGAGTTCGATCCCCGGCCACCGACGCACTGCCTTACCTCACTAAGCCAGTAATAAGACAGGTAAAGAGGGGAGGTTGAGCATGAGGCTGGCTAGCAACCCCATCCCGTGAAAAACAAACACTAGTGCTACAGAAACTTCAAGCCTCTAGCTTGAAGCCTCCTATGTTCCACTGGGAACGTAAAGGAAGAAGAACAAAAACTCCGCAACTATAGTAGATAACGGACGCAAAGGAAGAAGAAGAAGAAGAAGAAATATAATCAAACATTACTGAAATTCTCAAGTAAAATAAACAACCCAAAAAGAAGCTCATTAACAAAATCAAAACCTTTTCGGCGATATCACTCTCAAGCTGTACAAACCGCAAATTCATAGTAATTTTTCTTGGCAACAAAAGGAATATTTCCAAAGATGTGTTAATGCAATTGTTAATTTTTGACAATAAATTACGTAATCTAGAGGGCGTTAATCGGTTAGAAACTAAAATAAAGTCACAAAAGTAGGTTGGGTGACGTAATCTAATTGATAGGGTTCAATGAAAAATGAATGAGAGTCAAGTTAATAATCTGAGTAGAATTCACTTGAAAATGAATGAGATGTAGGTTAATAAGCTGAGTAGAATTCACTTAAAAATAAACGAAAATGGAGTTAGCAACAGTCGTCATGAGGGCAGAGATTTAATAGAGGGTGGGGGTAGAAAATAATACAGTTAAGAAACAGACAAACAAAGAAGAAAGAGGTAAGACAAAATTACGTATTTGGTGCTAGGATAGATCAGGACCATTGTAGATTTAGTGACTGAACAAACTTCTTTTGTATGCAGAGTTCAGGATTCAATATGTGAATTGCCATATTGCCTCTTTTCTATGACTGAATGGGAATTTTCAAATTACTAAAATCAAAACCGACATTAAATATGATCGAAAACGTATTCCAAAGATATAGATTTCAACAGTTTTCATTCTATACAGACCATCAGCTACGTAAGACGATCGACATCAGAAGAGTAATCAATAAGCACAACATCCAAATTTTTTTCAAAAAATCAGACACACTATAAGGCAAACTCGTCCGTGTTAAAGACCAAATTCCAAAAGATTCTCAATCTAATTGTGTCTATTAAAATAAAGTGCCCGCTTGAAATTTGATGCGATATACATCGGACAAACGTCTCCAGGGAGAAATCAAGGTAATCAAAAGAAATGAACCCCATAGAACCGCCTCTGTTCAACCACCGAGAAATCCAGTTGAACTAGAAAGACTTGAAAAATTACCAACCATAAGTGTACACGCTACTGGAAACAGGTAACAAAATTGATTTTGACAATATTGAAATATTTTTCAAGGATTGGTTTGTAAGGATTACATTTGTTTTTACGGGTTTGACCACGCTTTGATATCAGTTAGACAACCATTGAAAACCAGCCAGCATGGAGTACTGGACAGCTGTTTCCGTTGTCCTGCTTTGGGAATCATCGGCAGTAGGCACCCACCAACTGGGTTCGAACCCAGGACCTTCCGGTTACAAGCAGGAAAGCTCGTATACCATTCAGCCACTGGGACCCGATTCAATGAACCAGCCCATGAATTCTAACCTCTACCAATTCGTGATTTAGCGCGTCCAGCAACCAATGTCATCGGTGGGAAATCCATCCTCCATCCATCTCTAGACACCGAAACCAACAAGTTGGCAAAACAAACAGCGGTGACGGGACTTAAAGTGAACATAGAGAGAAGACACAGGTGATGAAGATACCTAATCACCACCAACACCACCAACGACAACAACAACGACAAGCAGCATCAATTACCATCAGTGGGAGAAGCATAAGGGAAGTGACCTCTTCCACTTATCTAAGCAGCACCATTTCAACTACAGATGATGTGACGGCACAGATAAGGAGATCAAAGCAAAACAGACCTTCATTATTCATTCTGGAAATTTGCTGCAAATAGAGCATAGCGTACAAGGTCAACGAGCTCCACACTTTTATCAACAGCTAACTAACTTCACTCCATACTGAAGATCAGATGATCAGTTAGGAAGGATAAGCAGCAAAGGAAAAGGAACTCTGCGAACGAACCAACCAACAACTTATCGCCCAACAAATATACAGAAAAAAATTGAAGATGGATTGGACACATACTGCGGAGACTGGTGAGCGACATCACGTGACTGACGAGCCTTCGATTGGAACCCGAATAGGAGGCGATGGGATAGGCGTGCAAAGGTAACATGGAAGAGATCGCGTATCGCGAGGGGGGAGTGGGGGGAATTGTGGAACTTGCAAGTAGCAGGGTGAAATCGAGATGCGCCCCCACTGAAGCTCTATATTCCACTCGGGACCCAATAATAAATTAGTTACAGGATTTCATCATAAGTTGATATTGGGTAGAGAACCATTAGAAAACCTGGGAGTGCTGGACAGCTGTTTCTTCACTCCTAGTTTGGGACTCTTTGGAAGTCTGCAGCAGGTCGGGTGTGAGGACAAATACTCGCCAGCGATGACATTGGCTAGTGCCAGTCGCGCTATGTCGTGAGTGAATTGGCAAAAGTTAGAATTCATGAGCTGGCCATTGGATCGGGTCTCAGTGGCTTAATGGTCTACGAGCTAGCTCGGTCGCCTTGTAATCTGAAGGTCCTGGGTTCGAACCCCGATGGGGTGGATCCCAAACAAGGCGGACGAAACAGCAGGCTGTCCAGTACTCCCTGACACTTTTTCCCTACAAAAATCAACACTTGACTAATAAATTATGTACTACACAAGAGTGTGTCAAGCTGAACAACTGCTGGACCCCTGTGCAAAGTTCTAAGTTGAAACTCAATCAATCAGTAAGTTAGTTAGTCAGTTAGTTAGTTAGTTAGTTAGTTAGGAAGTTTTTGAGCAAACGTAAAATCAATTAGTCAATTATATATATGGATTTCTAATTATTATCTGCGCACAGGAAGGAATAAAAGAGACACACATTCCAACTATTAGCATGTGATGATTACAACTATTGACTTTGCTTTATAAGTGAATATTTATACACAGGACAAATTTATTTATAGTAAGCCTCAATAGTTTGTAAGCAAACTCCTACACTCACACACACACACACACACACTAGTACACACAAATATACAGACATACCTCATTAGCTTCTTTAATAGGTCCATTGCATTGTTACTGACTTGCGTATCTATATTTGGACAGCATATATATGCTACAACTAAACGAATTAAAGCCACTCGATGTGTTTTCGATAGACGCATTCCAAACACTTCAATAAATCTAGAGGAAAGAAAAGAAATGAAAAGAAGGGAAATTAATTTGTTTTGTTTGTTCTTTTTTCTTTTCAAATATTAGTTGAATTATATTCGAATAAGAAGTCTGATTGTTGGACATATGTGTGTGTGTGGGTGGGTGGGTGGTTGTCACTTTCCGGCTGCCCACACTATGGAAATTGATTTCTTTTTCTTGAGGTATCTGTGAAATAGGAAGAGAATTATTAGTACTGCATGACAGCACAGCCTATGGGACAACTGTTTAAGGTCGGTCGATCGATCGATCGATCGGTTGGTCATACATGATTTGTTTGAAATGGGGTTTTTTTGGCGAATTTTATCCGGCTAAGGACCGCCACAATGCAAACTCTTCAGAACACAAAGGCGCAGTGGATGGCTTTTTGGTCATCTGAGGGAAACACCCGACTGCTGTCACATCCCTATTCGTCAGATGTACAAATTCGTGAACGATTTACACTATGATGGCGGCAACTGCTTTCCGTTTAATCGTTATCCAAACAACCTTTCTGGCATAGCAGGACCTGTAGGAACATTAGTTTCAGTCAGTGCAGCTTGTTGGCTCATTGAGACATACGAGGTCGACTACCACATCGAGGTGGCAACTACTGTTCGGGATATTTGGATAAAGCATTAACTTTAGACGGAGTTCATTTGGAATATATGGTGTTATTTATATACGCGATACGTTTCGAACAATCTGATTACTACAGCATTTACTTGTCAGCTAAATTTATACAAAAAAGGGTCAATTAAAAATAATCACAATAATATGTGATGTAAGCGGGTAAGGAGGATAAGAGTTGACACTACTCATGGTAATACTTTAGTGTGCCAACCATGGCAACAAAATAAACTAAATAGACTAATTTTCAATAGTGGGTTTGAAAGGATTAGTTTTGTTTTTACGAGTTGATCACAGATTGATATCAGTTAGGGAACCATTGAAAACCAGCCAGCATGAAGTACTGGACAGCTATTTCGCCATCCTAGTTTGGGAATCATCGACTGTACGCACCCACAACAGGCGGTTCGAACCCAGGACCTTCCGGTTACAAGCAAGCGATGTCGTATACCATTCAACCACTGAGACCCGACTCAATGGCAGCCAGCCAATGAATTCTAACTTCTACCAATTGGTGATTTAGAGCGACTGGGACCAACCAATGTCATCGGTGGGAACTCGATCCCCACACACTGTGTTATGCGAAATCTGTGTTATGTTGAAAAGAAATTTGTACAGCCCCTTTCTTTGCCATGCCCAACTGCATAATATGTGTGTGTTAAGTTTTGGAAAACGATTTTTCCCCTCACCTTGTAATCTTCTTTCGTCTTTGTTAATTTTTACAATTCTAGCTAATTCTATTAACTTGTTTGTATTCTACACAATTCTACTGAGTCATCCTATTCTCCTTAGTCATCATCGCCGTTTTACAAATTTCTTGATTACGTAATAACTTGTCGATAACCCCTACGAATTAACTGACCTAGAATTCAATAATTTTCAAGTATTGGTTTGGTAGGGATTTTGTTTAATTGTATGGAGGATTTCATCATGAGCTGATATCAGTTAGAGAACCACTGGAAAACCTGGGAGTACTGAACAGCCGTTTCGTCCTAGTTTGGGACTCTTCATTAGTACGCGCCCACCGGGATTCGAACCCAGGACCTTCTGGTTACAAGGCGAGCTCGTAGACCATTGAGCCACTGGGACCCGATCCAATGGTCCTTGAATTCTAACTTCTGCCAATTCACGACATAGCGCGACCATTTCGCAATGTCTTCTTAGATGAGTTACTGTCACATCTTTAACCTGCTGTACCCTACTGGTCACGGCTTCCCACTAGAACCCCAGGTTAACTGCCTGAATAGGGCCAGTCACTAGTGAGCATCAGATTAATTAATTAATCAATTTTCAACTCCACCTTCAGAACTTAGATATCTTTTCACTAATATCTTCTAGTTAGTTGTTTTGATGACCTTTAACCTGTTAATTTCACCCCTCGGCACTTCCTGTACCTTAAAATGATTAACTAAAATAACCACTTGATTGATAAGAAATTTTGATGTAAAAAGCGACTATATATTAGTGTAGAGCTAGCCGGCCGATAATGAGGAACTGCTAATTGAAGTGAAGGAGTGCATATTTCTTCGTTCAGTCAGTTGTTGTTTTTTTCTAAACGCGTAAATGAGAAATTGGAAATTCTTAAAAAAAAATTCATCAACAACATTACTTCTTCATAAAGAGTACTGAGGGTCACGTCTAGATCGAAATCAAAAACTCTATAGATAGAATGTAGAGATATGAGTCGACAGCTAATAATAGCTTTCATTTTTTTTATCATAGGTTGATTCCACACCGTATTTTCAGTACAAGTATGGAATTTTCAGCATGTGATTTCGGTAGCCCAAATTTCGCAGGCCGACCATTGATATCGGGTGTGCGTCGGCAGGGGATCGAAGCCCGGACCATGTGATGGTCGGCGAGAGTCCTAACCGCCATGCCACCGACGCACCGATGCACACTATGAGCTGTTAAATGAATATATACTTGTTTTCCAGTGAATTCTGTTCCCATTGAAAGTTAAATCAAGTATTTATTCATCAATTAAAACGTCAAGGTGTTGTCCAACAATTAGCTATGCGGGCAAGAAAGCTACCTTCGCGTGCAACAGGTATGAGTCGAAGTTATTTATTCAGGTTTGTGACATCCCAGTGATATCTGACGGAGAATGAATGACTAACCTCATGTTTTTTATATTATCACCTCCTTCATCAGAAGGATGTCTCGATATTATTAGGATAAATAACTCGAAGTTAACACCAAACAAGAATTATTATTCCGCATATATGTTGGGTGGAACGGACGAAGATGTCAAATCGAGAATCGGGAAGGCAAGAAACAAACGTCAAGTCAGTTCTTCTATACGGATCAGAAAACTGGCGGGTCACAAAGAATATTTCCAACAGCCTATTGCAGACCTTTATCAACAGCTGTCTTTGCACGATACTGAAGATCAGATGGCCGGAAAGAATCACCAACAAGAAATCATGAGAACAAACAAAACAAGAACCCATCGCTCAGAAAATATGCAGGAGAAAGTGGAGATGGATTGAACACTCACTGAGGAGGCCGCTGGGCGACATCGCGCGTCAGGCCAACGCTCGAGTGGAACCCGAAAGGGGGGCGGCGAGTGGGACGTCTAAGGGTGACATGGAGGAGATCGTGCGAAGAGTAGTGGAAACAGTATGGATTAACATGGATGCAGGTGAAAAGTGCAGCAGAAGACAGAAGCAAGTGGAGACGTCCAGTTGAAGCCCTATTTTCCACTAGGAACCCAAGGGAACAATAATAATAATGATAATGATAATAATATATGTTGGGTGATAGGTTCCTGTTTGGTTAGCCGTCAGAGTTCTTTGTCGCTTCGGATTTCCGGCCTCACAATCTTCACTATGCAATTGGAAATACTTTTTGTGAGGCATGCGACAAGTCCCTAAATCATATAGGAGAACTGATATTGTAACTACAGAAGACAAGGGACAGGCAACACATCATTTGTTGAGAAAATCAAGAGACATTAATAGATTTTTATGTACATTATTATTAGCGTTATTGTTAGCAGAGAAGCAGCGTCTTCTGATTGGTTGTTTTCTTGCTGAAGGCTATTTTGTCCACTCCTTGTGGCTGTTCCTTAGATAGTCTGGTATGCGAATCGTATCCGCACACGCAAAGTCTGCTGTGATTGGTCGTTGAGTTTCCAATGTTAGCCTTTGTTCTTGTTTTTCCCCATGATTCCGATTACGGACGTAAACATAGACGTCAATTGTTATCTTCACTTCTTGGCTAGCAGACAGCTCTCACCACAACATGACACCAGGGTTAAAGATCCGGATCTTCTCTCTCATACAGAATGAGGGGGAATTCCACAATGATTTCAGCGTAATCAACGCCCATACTATCTCGAACCTGATACAGGTACATCAGTCATTGGACACATATTCTGTCTTAAAGGGTTCAACAACTCTATCCCGAACGGCTACCGAAAGGTATAAGTGGCTGTATAGGCAGTGCGATAATCGAATATCTCGTCAACTCTGGTCATTCCATCTCAACAAACACCTCCTCCTTCAAAGGGATCACCTACACAGGGAACAACAACCTACAACAAAAGGTAATACTCCTTCGTCTCCTATGTATTATTGAAGCTATAGCAATTCAGTGAGAAAAACCAGAGTTATGTATACAAAAAAAAATCATCCAACCACTTCTACTATCACAGTGGTAACAACCCTGTGTGACTTCTACTCACTTGATGTTTATGTGCTTGTTTTTGTTTTCTTCTAACTCTCCATAACCTTTGTCATTTTTACAACGCTTACATAATTCCATATTCTCCTTTTGTTTCTATATCCATCCTAAACACAACTCACTCACATTAAACTATTCATCTTATTACGTAACTGTATTACACTTATCCGACTTCTTTTATGTGTTGATCAGCATTAATAAGGATGTTTTCTTTGACAACACATCACCACTACTCTCTTACCAGTCTTCACCCCCAACCCCGCCCTAGTTACAATTTGATTTGATTACTCATCACATTCTTAAACTGTCTTGATAACAATAACCCTAACTTATTTTTATTCTTACCGGACAAACCTAATGTCCACACACACACACACACACACATACAAAAATCAGTGTATATGTAATTGCAAATGTACAACAAAGTGAATCCTTCCTGAAATTCGTATTTTTCAGACATAGGTATTACTCACACACACACACAAACTTTCATTTGCTTTGGTAATCAGTGACAATAACCTTTGACCTAAATATAACTAACTGTACAGCTTCAAAGTGAAGTAAGGCAAAGAAAGGATCGCTTTGGTGACTCATCTAGTCTTAATAACATGAAATGGAAATTTATTTTCATACTAAGAGAAGACTGATTTCAAGTTTAACCACAGAGGTGATTTTCAAACCAGTTGAGAGTACTGGACAGCTGTCTAGTCAGCCTAGTTCGGGACTGGCAGTAACATCTTTCTTTCTTTCTTTCTTCCTCTTTTCAGCAGTACAATCAGTCTTGTGATATTAGTGTTAATGTGGTTGAATGTGATCAGAACAGCGGGAAACCCTTCACCCAGGTTTCATATCTGCAGACACTCTCATTAGCAATGGGTATCTGATTAGTTTTCTTTTTTGGAGATTTGAACTGTGATACAGTCAAAGACGTCACCGCTGAGGTATTCATGATAAAGCAGTTCAGTAGTAATTTCGGTCGGTTTTCGACATAGAACTTTGCACATATGTGTGCGGCAGTTCAAGTCGCCACACTCCACTCCATGTAGCACACAAAGGAAGAGAAGAAAGTAAAAGGATATGCATAATACAGACAGTAAACAGAGGTGTGGTGAGACAAACGAATAGTAATAACGAAGAACAAACCAGTTCAATTGGAAATCATGAGTCACAAGGAGTCGATGCATCTGCGCTGTCATTGAGAACGATCACTTTGAGCCATGTCACCAAAGTAAGTCGACGAGATTATTCCCTAGTAGCAAGTCAAGCCCTGAGTCTCTGAAGTGAGTTAGGGTTAAGTCCATTAGTACGTCTATGATGAAGTTGAATAGGAATGGGGATAATGGGCATCCTTGACGGACGCCACTAGTCGTCACCACCTCAGATGACAACTCACCGTAAGCTCTCACCTGGATGGCTGAGTGGGTGCGAGTAGAGTGCATTGATCAGTGCAATGTATTTTCTCGGCATTCCCTTTACAGCCAAGCATCGGCAGAGAACCTCTCGGTCGACAGATGCCTTCACTCCTTGTGACTTAAAATACCCAAAGAAACTATACTGTTCCTCGACATTACCTTACTTTTTGCCTCATATATCTGTTTACTGTCTCTATATCGCATTCTTTTTTATTTTATTCTCTTGATTTGTGAGCTATGTGGAGTGCGGCGACTCGAACAGCCACACATCGGTGCAAAATTCTAAGTTGAAACCAGTCAGTCAGTCAGTCAGTAATTCCGTCTGGTTTTTGACAATTTTCTAACTCAAGTCACCTCACGATATAATTCGAAAAGTTGAAATTATGAATTACATCGTGACTATTGAACATTCAAAGTACCGGCTGTGAAAATATGTTATCCATTAGGAAGAAGAAGAATAAGAGCAAAAGAGTCAGTGAAAAGATCCCCATCTTCTCGTCACTTCACTTCAAAGCTGTACAGTTATTTTTAAGGGGTTTATAAACCTACGCAATGCAGATTCATAACAGAGGTCAAAAGTTACTGTTACTGTCAGTTAGTAACAAGGCTCTTATTTACCAAAAGGTCAAAGACAACTTGACAACGTCAATGCTTATTTACCAATTCACTCACTCTTGTGGAGCTAACAACATACAGGTAGTACCAATACATCGTCAACAACTCAATTCTGCGGCACAATATTACTTCTGCTCATGCAGTATCAGCAAAAACTCCTTTCAGAGTTATATATAAGGTACAACCAAATCGTTAGAAATGAGTTCCCGTACATATTCTTTATCCAGCTGAAGCCCTAGTAATGCTTAAAAAGAAACCAGAACTTAAATAAAGCAAGAACAACAGCGGTTTGTGCAGAATAATATGGTACCATCATTTATTTCGTCGGCTTCCCATCAGCTGCTTACAGCCTAAATAAATTGTGAGGTTTACGTACAGAAAAGTTTTAACATACTTGTAAATTTTTACATGTTGTCAGTTGACAGAAAGTTCCAAAGTAAGTGAACAGTGCTCAGAAACCAGAACTTTATGTTCAGAAACGTTTCATCCAGCCTTTTTAGCGTTGGATACTTATTAGGTACATCTATTGAGCGAAAAAATATCTGATGAAATCCCCTGACACCTCAGATCCTACGAATCTGCAGCCCTGAAGTCCTGGAAGCAGAACTAGATCTTCTGAAAGAAACCTTCATCCCAAATGGATACCCGCCAAGATTTTATAGATAAGAATATCAAACTAAAGGTCCAGAGGAACGAAACATTCAAGAGAAGAATTTCAGCATCTTTGAGAAAAAACATTCTCTGCAGCAACGCTAACAGTAGTGTTCTCCAGTCATCCATTCATGTGCAAAAGCCTCAACCACAATATCCCGCATCTAGTCACTTCTATGTGCATATATCAGTTCACTTGTTGCTGTGCAACCAGTCAGGTACATCAGACGTTCAACACGTATCCTGTCATAAAAGGGCTCAAGAACAACATCCCGAAGGGCTACTAAAAGGTAATAACGGCTGTATAAAGAGTGCAACAATCGAAAATCTCGTCAACTCTGGTCATTCCATCTCAACAAACACCTCCTCCTTCAAAGGGATCACCTACACAGCCAACAACAACCTACAACAAAAGACAATACTCTCTCGTCTCCTTTCTATTACTGAAGCCTTAGTCATTCACTGAGAAAAACCAGAGTTATGTATACAAAAGAAAATCATCCAACCACTTCTACTATCACAGTGGTAACAACCGTGTGTCACTTCTACTCACTTGATGTTTCGGTGTGGTTGTTTTTGTTTTCTTCTAACTCTCCATAACCTTTGTCATTTTTAGAACGCTTACATAATTCCATATTCTCCTTTTGTTTCTATATCCATCCTAAACACAACTCACTCACATTAAACTATTCATCGCCTTATTACGTAACTGCATTACACTTATCCGACTTCTTTTATGTGTTGATCAACATTAATAAGTATGTTTTCTTTGACAACACATCACCACTACTCTCTTACCAGTCTTCACCCCCAACCCCGCCCTAGTTACAATTTCATTACTCATCACATTCTTAAACTGTCTTGATAACAATAACCCTAACTTATTTTTATTCTTGTCAGACAAACCTAATGTCCATACACACACACACACACACCTACAAAACTAAGTGTATATATAATTGCAAATGTACAACCAAGTGAATCCTTCCTGAACTTCGTATTTTTCAGACATAGGTATTACTCACACACACTTTCATTTGCTTTGGTAATCAGTGACAATAACCTTTGACCTAAATATAACTAACTGTACAGCTTCAAAGTGAAGTAAGGCAAAGAAAGGATCGCTTTGCTGACTCATCTAGTCTTAATAACATGAAATGGAAATTCATTTTCATACTAAGAGAAGACTGATTTCAAGTTTAACCACAGAGGTGATTTTCAAACCAGTTGAGAGTACTGGACAGCTGTCTAGTCAGCCTAGTTCGGGACTGGCAGTAACATCTTTCTTTCTTTCTTTCTTCCTCTTTTCAGCAGTACAATCAGTCTTGTGATATTAGTGTTAATGTGGTTGAATGCGATCAGAACAGCGGGAAACCCTTTACCCAGGTTTGATACCTGCAGACATTCTCATTAGGGATGTGTATTTGACTAGTTTCCTTTTTGGAAAATTTGAACTGTGATACAGTCAAAGACGTCACCGCTGAGGTATTCATGATAAAGCAGTTCAGTAGTAATTTCGGTCGGTTTTCGACATAGAACCTTGCACAGATGTGCGGCTGTTCAAGTCGCCACACTCCACTCCATGTTGCACACAAAGGAAGAGAAGAAAGTAAAAGGATATGCATAATAGAGACAATAAACAGAGGTGTGGTGAGACAAAGGAATAGTAATAACGAAGAACAAAACAGTTTCATTGGAAATCATAAGTCACAAGGAGTGGATGCATCTGCACCAGCCATTGAGAACGATTTTGAGCTATATCACAAATGGTTTCCAACCATTGGTTTTTACCGTCCCGAGGACCCCAACTAGTCAGTCAGGAAGTCTACACCTTCCTACGTGGCTTAAACTTACTGTTGTGGATTTCATTGACTGGTGCCACGTTTTCGTTTGACCAACGCTAGCTCTTTTACAGCCTAGCCCTATATCAGCTAATATTGCCCGTCGAGGAAGGCGATGACTAGGGATGCATACGTAACACATGTCCTAACCATCTCAGTCCATGTCATTTCACAGTCTCATCGACTGATTTCCCCACCTTACCTAGCACTCGACGCCTAACCTCAATATTGGTCAACTTATCATGACAATCTGTTACAGGAATAGGAGTTGGTTGTGTTATGCCTGAGTGCCTTAACTTCTTGATGTAAAAAGTCAGACGAAATATTCTTTTAGAAATCGCTAAGACATGCGAAGACCAGGATAGGTCAGTAGAAAGAATTAATCCAAGATACTTAACTTAAGACTTGATTTCTATATCCTCAATATCATCAATTTTGCAACGGTTGTGCATCAGGTTAGCAACCCTACCCGATAAAAATGAAACCACTGTTACCACTGAAGCTTGAAATCCTATACTCCACTCGGAACGTAAAGGAATAAAATTAGTTAATTAATTAATAATAAATACTGATCACCTCACACTAAATTACATGTTTTTATAATTAATAAAACCTATCGTTTCATAATTATAATGATAATAATGCTAATTCGCTAACCTCTGAATTGTACTGAACACTGGACTAATTTCACAGAGGACGTCACCAGATGACAGAACATCGTATAACCATTGTGAAATCGATTCCCATTCCCCGCGTATCACCTTATTCAAATTATTCGGATGAATAGGGAGTAAACGATCACTACGTCTGGACATATTTGATGAGGATGCAGATGCCGACGAATGACGACGATGCCAACGATAAGGACTGATGTGATGATTTCTTTGTTACATCAGATTTGATCATGATTTATGTGTGTATCCTTTAGCTTATATAGATAGACTGATAGAGTTTGTAATTTGTTGTTAGTAAAATAAAAAAAAGAAAGAAACGGAATAGTTAAGGGGAGGTGAAAAAAAAGGAAATTTCAAAACAAAATGTTCAATAAACATTCGCACCCTCCCTCCGTCCCTTCCCGCCTCACCATTATGTGAAATAAAATAATAAGAACTTGTATTGATCTTAATCAGTGGTGACCTCAACAGGCTTAACACATACACTTATGTGAGTAGAACTCAGTAATCTGGCTGAAATTTATGGATTAATTTATGAGACAGACACACACATGAAATTCACTGGTGTTGAAACTCAGAAAAACCGAAATTAATTAGGTTACAATAACACAATAAGGTTGGATATTCAATCACTCCTGGTAACAGAAACATTTTAACGTACAACAGTGACCAATAATAATAGTAGTAGTAATATTTGCTTTTACGAATTTGACCACGGATTGATATCAGTCAGAGAATCATTGAAAACCAACCAGCATGGAGTACTGGACAGCTGTTTCGCCAGCATAGTTTGGGAATCATCAGCAGCACTCACCCCCCTGTCAGAGTTCAAAACCAGGCCAGCAAGCTCGTATACCATTCAGCCACTGGGACCCGACTCAATGGCAGCCAGCCCATGAATTCTAACTTCTACCAATTCGTGATGCATTTAGCGTGACTGGCACCACCCACCAATGTCATCGGTGGGAAATCCATCCTCACACTTGACTGGTTAGACCTCACTGGAATCCACTCCAGGAAACTCCATCCTGTAGCAAGTCACTAGCGAGCATCAGTTGTAATATTGACTCAACGGTTTTAAGGGTGAAAGATGAGATTTCACATAGAGCTTTTGACTTTTATGTAAACAATGGGACATACTGGCCATCTGAGAGAGACAGGAATATCACTACAGCAGTGATCCCTTCCATTCCTTGTAAACTATAAATAATTTGACCATACATACGATGTATGAAAGTGCATTGCCTTCAGTAGTTTGCATCCCGAGTAAGACACACAGAGCTTCATGCTTGAAACCTCACACTGAACCTTCTCTCTGCCTCTCGCCTCCGAGTTTAATATCAACTAGCAAAATAGGCAAGGTTTAGGAGCGCGTTAGCCAGCAATCACAAAACAGAGATCATGTTCTTGGTTGGCAAGCATTCTCTACGACTGAACCCCTGACATACCGTTATGCCACTGATGTATACCACTTCAGAGCTTTGAAGTACTTTACTGTAAAAACTACGGTTTACAGATAATTTTATTCAATTTTAAGAATGTTACAGAGAAATGATTTGTGCATTCTAAACGCCAAGTGGTACACTGAAGACTCATATGCCAATTGCAGAGATATGACTCACTGACTTAAGCGCTCGGCTTACAGCTAATGAGTGTCCTGCACAACTTACCTCATCTTAGGCAACGATTTTGAGATATATTATCCATTTCAAACGATTAATTCATGGTGCGTTTGGTAGTTCAATGGCAGAATGTTTGCCTGCCGCGCAAGAGGTCCTTATTCGACTCCCGACTGGTGGGCTCCTAAACCTCACCACCTAGTTCACTGGCCGGTAGTAAGAAGTTTGCAAAAGCAGAAAGGTCGGTGGTTGTGAGGCTAACAACCATATCCCTTCCCCCTATAAGGAGAGACAGTACCATCACCACTGAAACTTCCAGAACCTTGAAGCCCACCCCCTTTGCTAACTAATTCGGCGTTCAAGTATTGGTTTGTAGGGATTTTGATTGATTGGTTACAGGATTTCATCGTGAGCTGACATCAGTTAGAGAGCCATTGGAAAACTAATCAGGGAGTACTGGACAGCTGTTTGTATGGTCCTAGTTTGGGGCATCCACCGGTGTTCGAACCCAGGACCTCCTGGTTACAAGGTGAGCTAGCTCGTAGACCATTAAGCCACTGGGACCCGATCCAATGGCCAGTCCATGAATTCCAACTTCTGCCAATTCACGACATGGCGCGATGACTAGCCAATGGCTTCGGCGAGTATTTGTGATGGTCGCGCTATGTTGTGAATTGGCAGAAGTTGGAATCCATGCCATAGCCATTGGGTTGATTCCCAGGGGCTTAATGGTCTACGAGCTTGCTTGCTTGTAACCAGAGGGTCCTGAGTTTGAACCTCAGTGGGTGCGTGCTGACAAAGAATTCCAAACTAGAACCAGAGAGACAACTGTCCAGTACTCCCTGACTGGTTTTCCAATGATTCGATAACTGATGTCAGCTCATAATGAAGTCCTGTAATTCAACTTTCTTAGCTGAGTCAGTGGGTTGGATGGTGGGGACTGGTACACCAAAAATGAACTCGGCTGTAAACGACAAAAACTACCGTCCGGTGGTATTTAGACCACTCTGATGTAGATGGTGGGCTGGCTGGCTGGCTACTCATCTCAATCAATCAATCAATCAGTAGTCGATATTTTTGTGCCGCATGGATGCAAGATTGATTAACGAACAATACTATCAAAAAATAGGCACATATAAAGAGTGGGTAGGGCGGGGGACGGCGGCGAGGTGGACAAAAACACTGGAAAAAAAACAACAAACAAACAAAATAATCTACAAGTGAACTTTAAGCACATCAATGGATAAAGAGAGAAGAAAAAAGGGAACACTGTGCAAAGTAAACTGATATGTATTTTTCTGTCTTTCAATATGCATATACAAATAAATCGTAGGCAAAACAAAAACAGAAAAAAACAAAGACAAGTTCAGGGGAGAGAGAAAAGAAAAGAAAGCAGCCGACAGATAAACTGACGAAAGAAAGGTGGAAAAAAACATCTTCTCTATTCTCTTTTTACATCAGTTTGATTCGCTTTAAGTGATGTTAGTTGACTGTCGACAACAGAGACAGCGATTAACAATTGTCCAGCATAATAAGTTGGTAAAATCAATGTAGACAGAAGTGATTTCTCCTGGGCAAATATACTCACAGCTAATAAACTATCTGATAGACCGAATAATAAACCGCCTAGTGCACAGGATATCGATGTCCACGGGATGGAATATTCATGTTTGTATAGTTGAGCTACAGCACGCCACATCATCAAGACTAATAGTAGGCCATAGGCAGGACATACTAGTCCAGTGAGAAGATTAAAACCTTCTCTTACATAGATACAGATAAATATAAGCGATGGAAGTAAAGCGAATAATATGAATAACTTTAATGGTCGAATACCAAATGCATGAATATATAAGATATGCGTAATAGCAAAGAAACCCATCCCGGGGAGAAAATATTTAGGCCATACTAAACATGCATCACCTAGACAAGAAAATACTAGACCAAGTAAAATTTTCATAGCATAATCTTGTTTCGACAGAGAGGATTTCACGCCATACATATAAACAAAACCAATAAGTGATAAAATTGGTGCACATTTGAATAGACAATAACCAATAGTTGATTCATGTTTTGGATAGAGAACGTAGAATAAGGCAAATGTTTTGAAAAATATAACTAGACGTGGTCCCAGACATTTCACCTATAAAAAAGAAACAGAAAGTATAATATATAATAATATAATAAAGTATAATATATGTATAAAGTATAATATATATATATATATACGAATTAAAGTTGAACAGGTTAAACAGCATACCGCCAAAATAATTACAATAAAATCAGCTAAATAATAACCCTAATGTACGATTATATGTATAATATCATAGACAAACTGACTGGCTGACTGGTTTCAACGTAGAACTTTGCACAGATGTGCTACAGTTCGAGTTGCCACACTCTACTCCACGTAGCACACAAAGCAAGAGAAGAAAGTAAAGAAAGATAATAGACAAAAGTGTGAGTAAGGGAAAAAGAATAGCAATGTGGAGGAAGGATAGAGTTCTATTGGATATTATAAATCACAAAGAGTGAATGCATCTGCGCTAGCCGTTGACCACGATTTGAATCACATCACTAATTTTCTTCAGTCTTCATTGATTCTTAGCATCCCGAGGACCCCAACCAGTCAGTCAGGCAGTCTACACCTCCCTACCTGGCTGACTGACTGGCTTAAAGTAACTGTTATGGATTCGACTGATTGATGAAGCCATGTTTTGGTTTGACTACCACTAGCTCTTTTCCTGCCTGCTGCTATGTCAACCAGCTAAGATTAACCGTCGAGGAAGGTGATGGATGCTGCTACACCCAGTTAACTGAAGAGTCCCCAATCGAACGAAATGCACATCCTGGACTGCACACTGCTAGTTACCATCCAGCAAATTACTTCATATATAGATTACATTCTATAGACTTCTTGTCACCTGCTTAGGACCTAAGTAAATAAATACACTCTCAATGAAAATAACAATAACACATTTTGACTGAAGGGTGAATTTATTTTCAAGGGCGATAAAAGACTGTTTCAGTTTCATAATTTGAGTAAAATTTAAAATACACTTACAGTAAAGCTATAAAATTTTTATATAAAGAGATAACGTTTCTTTGATATATGACAATTTATGACCAAATAACTCAAAACTGTTATTGTCACTTTTTATTATTTAAAGTTAACTTGGGTTAGGAGATTCCACTGTTTTCCCTAGTCTGAAAAAGTCAAATGACTCTTCAGAGAGAAAACTTTAAAGTGAGATTTTAAAAACTGACAAAGATAATATGACCTAAGATGAATTTATCATTTTTGAAGGTTGTTTCTTTTCTTATCATGATATTATAAGAATTTAGCGTAAGGCATTAAAAGGTGTGAAGAGAACATGTAGCAAGAATGAACACAACTTTCTTATCGGTTAATTATGACAGACATTTTGTTAAACTGCAAAATGTTGATGTTTCTTCAACTATTGAAATGGACTTATTACAAAAAATCAGTGTTTCATGTGTGAACGCCTTTTTTGTAAAATCCTGTACACTCAGTTTTCAAAATATTGTTTCTGATGTTGAAGATAATAGCTTAAACTTTTAGTCAGTACGCGTAAGTAATAGCTTCATTGCATAACACTGCACATACTACAACAGGTGAAGAAATTGCTTCCACAAATATCATGTTAAATCAGATTGCCAAGCGAAGAGATCAAAACTTTAGAAGTGATTTTTTACAACTTCACTCATATAAGCATGAAGGCTATAGCTTGCTGGAAACTGTCTGCAAGTGACATATTAAGTAGTTTCGGATGAATACCAAGTCGTAACAAAGATAGTGAACATCTATAAAAAGGACATATAGGCTTCAGAAACGAAAAGGTACACTTTTAGTGTTACTTTAATTTTTACTTTCTGATTGTGATTTAGTTGTAGGAATAAGTAGCGATCAAACAGAACTCATAGCCATAGGATTACTTCGGAATATCTCAAAATGCTAATTTTATATACTTACAGCTTAAAACAAGTTGGAAGTTAGAACAACAAAAGTGACTCCAGCATTTCTACAGATTAATGGTTTACAGTTTGCAATACTAAGTCAAAATCTGCATAACATGCGTACATAACCCACTGGTATCTATAGCTTTTATTATCCTAGCTACGTGCGTCGGTGGCATAGCGGTTATGACTCTCGCTGATCTTGCACATGGTCCGGGGTTAGATCCCCTGCCGACGCACACCTGATATCTATAGTCGGCCAGCAAAATTTGGGCTACCGATATCATATGCTGAAAATTCCATACTTGTACCAAAAAATACGGTGTGGAATCAAGCTGTAATCAAAAAAATATATCTACAACTCCAACTTGTGAAAGTCTTTATTTTATGGGTCTAAAGTAGCATTTGGTGCTGAAGTATCTTAGCATTTCTACACAAACTTCAGTAACGGAGTGAAGGATATGATGTACGTCGAAATATATTTTGACTGAGAATTCCACTTCTGCTCAATTTGATCCAAGAAATAAGCATCTGAACGAAAACCATTTTACCGTGACTTCCATTCTTAACTTGTCTGAAGTAGTTCTCGTAGTTATAACCAAAAGAAAACGAGCGAAAGATAAGCGAGTTCATGAAGAGCTAAAACTATATTTTTAAGCTTTCTGATCCAATGAAAATGTTCTTATGACCCTCGAAGGAACGATCCTTCTTTTACTTCGATTCTCTCAGGCAAGCAGAACAGTGTTTTAGATGTACATCGTCCAAGTTTAGTGTATATCAGCTCATTTGAATAAGCACTAAAATTTAGCACAACCTAGTCGAGAATGCAAATGAGTGAAATGAGCAGGACATGAGTAATTTAGGCAGTTTTGATTGCAAAAGACGGCGGAAAATGTGGGTAAAACGAAACACCCAAAAACCATACTCACCATGTTCATCCAGCCAATAAGAGATGAAACATTTTGATAAACCTACCGATTGTGCTTTAAGCAGATACATTGTGAGTCTTTAAGTGCGCCGATAACATTTCATGGATTTAACTGAAAGCACCACAGTTCTCCTAAAGAACTAGTTGGCTAATAACTTCACGAGAGGTCCAAAGTATTACACCTTTGTAAAACTCCATCAAACAAAATTGAACGCCACAAAAAAGAAAATGCATGCAGTGAAACTTTGAAGTGTACTTACGACAGTAACTCGGCTAATTGGCTCAAACGGCAACATCCCAGTGCGCGGTAAATGCAAATCCTGTTGGACAAGTGCTTTCAAGGCAACGCAAAAACCCTACCAACCACAATTCTGAAGTTCAATTTCCAATATCGTTTTTAGGCTGACCTTAAATATCACGTTCAATATCCAATATCCTGATTACGAGCTAGTATAAACCAGTGATTTCTTTGAGCTCGCTTATTGATTGTAAGGTAGAGGTTCCAGATCTTCGGTGAACTTATGCGTAGTAAATCCCGCCACTCGACTGCTTTAGCTCTGGTAGACTCCAAGAGGAGTGGTGCGAGGATTGGTCAAGATTGTGGTTTGTAGTGTGCAGTATGTTAGGACTCAGCTGCTGCCGTGAATGGAGTTTGACCTAACACCCGTTGGTCATTCGGTGTAGTCATAAAAGTAGAATAATAATAATAGGTTGTAGTGTAGATAATATAGGTTGAGATAAGTGAAATAATAAAGAGTAGTCGGTACAGTGGGAGAAGACAGGACGGGTCGTGGGGATTTAGCTTGTATGCTTATCCATTGACAATGTGGTTTCAAATTTTAAGAGGGTAAGCCATTGAGACACAAACCATGCATTTCTGCATGATAGTCCAGCTTCCGCTTAAAAGTCTCCACAGATGGAGCTGTAGTTACGGCCGCCGGTAAAGCGTTCCAGAGACGGCAAACTCGAAGCGAGAAGAAATGTGAACGCACTCGAGTCTTTGGTCTCTGGTGTGCTATCCTTAGCGGGTTACCTCGTGGAAGCCTATAATCACTTAATGGCAGGATGCTCTTATTAGGGTGGGCCTGGTCATTTAAGATCTTATAGACGGTGATGAGGTCTCCCCTGTGACTACGGTAACTAAGTGTGAAAAGACTTAATTTCTTCAGTCTTTCCTCATATGATTTGTTGCGGAGGCCGATCACCCATTTTGTTGCTCGTCTCTGGACACTTTCTAGAATGTTAGCATCCCTTTTGAGTAGCGGAGGAGCAATGATATTATGCACCTCAAAGAGTGGCCTCACGTATGTCGTATACAACGTTAAGAATAGTTCAGGAGTAAGAGCTCCCAGCTGCCTATGCATAAAGTGTAAAGTAGCGTAAGCTTTGGCGACGTCCCTCGTGTAACTTACACTGGTGTCTAGCTTTTCTGTTAAAATAAGGCCTAGGTCACGTTCTGATGGCACACAACTCAAGTTCTTGCCACCAAGGGTGTAATTTGCACTCTGTGACCTGCCGGAATGAAGTTGCACTACTTTGCACTTCTTTAAGTTGAAAGGCATTCCGTTAGCCAGGGCCCAGTCTCCCAGAGTTTGCAGGTCAGCCTGCAATCTGTCGGAGTCTTCCGATGAGTTTATTGCTCTCCAAATCTTTACGTCGTCTGCGTAAAGAAGCGCAGAGCAGTTCAGTTGACAGGGCAGGTCGTTGATAAAAATCAAAAACATCAACGGCCCTAAGATAGAACCCTGAGGAACCCCTGATGCCGAGGTGTGCCAGGATGATCGGATGCGGTTGACTTTGGTGCAGAATTCTCTCTCACCTAAATAATCTTCCAGCCATGCGAGAAGTGCTCCAGAAACACCCGCTTTGCTTATTTTGTGAAGGAGCAGACCATGGTGAACTGTGTCGAATGCTTTCGCAAAGTCGAGAAAGATCACATGGACTGGTACCTTTACATCCCAGGATAGTGTCCAATCGTTCCAAGCTAGTAGAAGATTCGTCACACAGGATCTTCCCCCTCCTGAAACCGTGCTGTGCTTCATGGAGTAGGTTAGTCCCGTCGAAGTATTTTCTCATGTGGTCGTCAATGAGACTTTCCAATATCTTCGATATCACTGGGAGTTCTAGAACAGCTGTTAAAATCTCACTCGGAAATTTTTTGTCAATAATTTTTAGTAAAATTGTGTTATATGTTATCTGGATTGATGGGAATTCTCATTTTCTGGCCTGTTATTTTGGTGTCCGCGTCATGTATTCCGACTGCGACACTCCCTAGCATATTGGTTGCAAAGATCAGTGTTTCAGGCGAACTGTGGCAAAATATCGCTATAATGAGAATGATATTATAGTTGAAGGGTAATGTCATCTACACAAATAGTCTACTTTATTTAGATGCTGCACCTTTCGGCATGGTATCATTCAATGGAGACTTCACGTCTCAAGATATTAATTCAGCCTATTGTCGTGTGAAGAGCAGTCCTTTTTGACAAAAGAATTCTATCAGTACTTGGAAATCACCTGTAAATGCTAAAAGAACCTTCTGTGGGAATAGAAGTAATCATGTAGATGTGTCTCACCGTATGTGTGTTTGGACAGGAATTATCGTAAGTTGAGAGGTTATTTCTAAGTGTATTTCATGTATATTTGCACTGTTTGGTGTTGCGTAATATGAGCTATGTGGACTCAATGTATAAAAAATATCTCAACTTTATTAATATTTACAGTTTACAGTTTCAATTTATTTAGGATAGTAGGCTATATGCCTGTGTTTGCTACAGGCAGTCCTACTTCGTGCGTTTGGATCTAGTACACTAGGCATTAACAATCATTCAGGGATTTCCTATTGCTTCCTAACTTTGCTTCCAAAAGTACATACAAACACCACACGTTCATACTTCCCATGTGGCTCATCCTTGCTTGATTTTGATTCTCTCACAATATATCTGATTTTTTAGCTGACAACAGACACCTTGTCGAAAAGCTTTTTAAACTTCAAACCAGGTTCTAAATTCTCTAGGTTTAATTTGTTCTTCGAAAACTTTGCTAATATCAACCCTGATCGTGCTCTCTTCACCAGATTCACTCGTAGATTGTTGCATGCTGTAAACATGAACGTGAGAGACTTTTTTCCAGATTCCTACATATTAAGTAACCAGTTGAGCCAGCAACAATAACGGCAACCAAAAATGAACTGGAAACAATGGCTTCTGCCTCCCAAAAATGTTCACGTGTATAATCTCCAAAATGTCTACACAGTAATGATTCATTAATATCTGGAAAACAACTAAAACACTGAAACCATACATGAATGCAACGTATGAAACAGTAACAATGAAACGAATGCACTGGCCTGGTGGTAAAAACTTTCGAAACATACGAAATAACTAATTTTAACAGAAACGGAAACAATATTGAGGTGAAACGCAACATTTGTGAACAATGTGCATCAAGATAAGTTGTGAATAACTGCTGGATAAACGGAAAAACCAATATGTAAACGAACAGCTACGGAACTGCAATCCAACATGGCCGACTAACATGGACGAAAATGACATTTTGGCGTCTCACTCCACCAATGACCTTGTACGTGATGTTTAATTTCAGTCTCGTTTTTACGAGCCATGTACACCAATATAATTTTGTTGTGTTCGCTTCTTGATTGTTGGGTATAGAATTCTGGTCTTCGCCAAACTTCTGCATGGTTCGTCCAGCCAATCGACTATCGTAGCTTTGGTTGACTCCAAAAGTAATAATAATAGTATATTCTCATTTTTCTTTACATGAGGGACGCCAGTTTACAGGCATCATCAATTCGATAAATTACACATACGATTAGTAAGTATAGTTAGTAATGATAATATAATAAGGTACATATTTAATCATTCAAATATAGGACACACAAGTTGTATAGGAATGGATAAGAATTATTTAAGTTACATATTTAAATTACATGATTTACGGTCAAATAACATGGTTGTTGTCATTTTATCTTTAGTTTGTGGGGAAAATCCGATAACTGGTGATTCACTGGAACACACCAAGAAATATAGAGATATTGACTTCGCATTAACAAAAAAAACCCAAGTATGCGTTGGATGGATTACATATACTTGGGAAAATAAATAAAGCTTGAAGTCAATTCCCTCATAAAACAATAAAATGCGTCTTACAATAATATATTCCCACTTTATGCACTTGAGGGACTCCAGTTGACAGGCATCATCAATATCATAATAATGCACACATGGAGTGAACATGTTTAAAATTTTTCACTGACACAAAATATATATACAAGGGAAGATAATGAAATATTGACCGTAAGTACACTCTGCATAAGTTAAAACAGTTAAAGTTGGCGGCCTGTTCGACATCTGGGCTACCTTTCTGTACATCTACATATTTGCATCTAATACATCATGTTTCCTTTTTAATTTTAACAAAATATGGTCACAAATCGTAGCAAATACAGTAATGAATTCATTAAATGTTTTAAACCATATGACTTTCATGCATCTAATAAAACTAAGAGAAAACATCATGGTGGTTGGCAACGCGCTCTCAAACGGACACCATTATATCGCACAACTATTCCTGTTATTGTCAGTTCAAACTGCCGTTCACTTCCCAACAAAATTATGCATCTCCAGTCTCTCTTATCATCTGATACTTATCACAATACTGCGATAGTCACATTACAAGAAACATGGCTCCATGATCTTTGTGACGACAACCTGGTTTCTCTAAATGGTTTCACATTGTTTAGACAAGATCGAATATGCTCTAGAAAGAAAAGAGGTGGTGATGTAATGTAAGCGGGTAAGGAGGATAAGAGTTGACACTACTCATGGTAATACTTTAGTGTGCCAACCATGGCAACAAAATAAACTAAATAGACTAGTTTTCAATAGTGGGTTTGAAAGGATTAGTTTTGTTTTTACGAGTTGATCACAGATTGATATCAGTTAGGGAACCATTGAAAACCAGCCAGCATGAAGTACTGGACAGCTATTTCGCCATCCTAGTTTGGGAATCATCGACTGTACGCACCCACAACAGGCGGTTCGAACCCAGGACCTTCCGGTTACAAGCAAGCGATGTCGTATACCATTCAACCACTGAGACCCGACTCAATGGCAGCCAGCCAATGAATTCTAACTTCTACCAATTGGTGATTTAGCGCGACTGGGACCAACCAATGTCATCGGTGGGAACTCGATCCGCACACACTGTGTTATGCGAAATCTGTGTTATGTTGAAAAGAAATTTGTACAGCCCCTTTCTTTGCCATGCCCAACTGCATAATATGTGTGTGTTAAGTTTTGAAAAACAATTTTTCCCTCACCTTGTAATCTTCTTTCATCTTTGTTAATTTTTAAAATTCTAGCTAATTCTATGAACTTGTTTGTATTCTACGTAAGTAATTCTACCGAGTCATCCTATTCTCCTTAGTCATCATCGCCGTTTTACAAATTCCTTGATTACGTAATAACTTGTCGCTAACCCTACGAATTAACTGACTTAGAATTCTGTAATTAATTAATTAATCAATTTTCACTCCACCTTCAGAACTTAGATATCTTTTCACTAACATCTATTAGTTATTTGTTTGGATGACCTTTAACCTCTTAATTTCACCCCTCGGAACTTCCTGTACCTTAAAATGATTAACTCAAATAACCACTTGATTGATAAGAAAGTTTGATGTAAAAA